CCCATGGCCCCAGTCCATGAACCTTGACACTTAGAGAGGGGCGGCACCACGGAGGCTGGCCAGCCTTCTGGCAAGGAACAGTGTGGGTTTCACGAATAAAGAACACTGCTTTTAGCACATAAATAGGACTTCTAGTAGAACATGGGACTAGCTCCTTGCCAAGAACTGAAGATAAGAAGTGAAAGCCCTTCAACCCCCTCCATCCACAGCATCCCCCTTTCAGGAGCCGAGCTCTGCGAGTAAGACATGAAACATCAACCAGGCAACAGTTGGGTTTAAAAAGCAAAGCAGATGTGATCCAAAGCAGGTTTACCTTGTACCTACCAGCCACAGATGCTGGACTCAAGCCATGGAGGAACCTGTCAGCTTCTCTCCTCTGGTCTATGACACTGTGGTCCCGGTAGGACTGCGGTTTCCTGGTGCGTGGCTGCTCACGCCTCCAGCAAGCAGGGTGCAAGGAGCATCAAAGCCACATCGGGGCCTCCAGGCACTAAATAAAAGCAGGGAAGCTGGGAGAAGTGAGCACTGCAAGAGGTTTGGGATTGCACAAGACTAATCTGTATGCGCTGGCAAGGAGGAGCAGGATCTGAATGGGTGGTGTGAAGGACGCACAGCACCAGAGCACTCACTTACCACTAGAGCTTGGAATCATAGAATTGTATCGTAGAATGGTTTGGGTTGGAAGGGACCTTAAAGCTCATCCAGTTCCAACCCCCTGCCACAGGCAGGGACACCTTCCACTAGAGCAGGCTGCCCCGAGCCCTGTCCAAGCTGGCCTTGAGCACTGCCAGGGATGGGATGTGTAATATTTGATCGCTGTAACTCCTCTTGGCTCAGGGGGAGGCTGATGTGCACGGCACAGCTTCCTGGGTAGGTCTGCGGCTTCCAAGGTGGAGGAGAGATGTCCTTCCCAGCAGCTGTATCTGCTGGTTGAAGAAATCATGAGGGAAGAGAAACACACTAAAAGGGCTGATTACAAGGGGGCACCTTTCTCCATCCTGGATGCTTCTCCACATGTTCTTTCTTTGTATCAGTGACAGCAGGTGAGATGCTCAGTCTGCCACTGGCAGGTAAAATTTGGCTACAAGGACAGAACTGCAATGGACATGAGTATACAGAGTTAGGTGACAGCAAGGCCACAAATTGGGAAGAATCATAATGAAATGGGGAAATCAGCTGAATTTCAAGGGAGAGGCAGGAAGCTGAGTTCATTGCCCTGCAACTGTCAGTCCTAAGCAAGAGGCCTTTTGATCAGCTACTGCACACTGGCCCATGTACCAGCATCCAGAGAACATCCCCCAAAAACACACTCAAAAGCCAGAAACTGCCAGAGGAGACAAACAGGACCTTGGACCCCAGTAACTGCCAATTTAAGAAGAAATGCAAGCACTGATTACAGCCCATGTCTCTTGCCAGAGAGAAAGGGAATGCTCCCCAGCCAAATCATCCCTTCTGGCTGAAGGAGGAGGAAGAGGAAGGTCAGATCCCTTCCCAGTGCCAAAGCTGGCAATCAACCTTAGCAGCAGCCAATGTACTCCAGCACTCTCCATTCATCATCCCATTTTCTTGCTGCAGTCAGTCTCTGATGCCTCATGAGATTAACAAACAAACAACTAAATCAATACAGTCATCTCGATCCCTGCAGGCCACAGGCTGTGAGCAACACAACTTCTGCCTGAAAGAAGTTATCAGCCTAAGAGAGGCTCCCAAGAGAGAAGTCCAGTACTCCAGATCTGTCAAAAAATCAACACATGCACACAGGGCAACAGTTCAGCAGTGCCCTGGGAAACAGGGATCCTGAGCAGCTCCTCCCCTCCTACAGCTTCCTTATTTTCTCCTCAAGCATCATCAGATTGAGCCTTGACCCTCCCTGAAGTCCAGCCACTGAAGGAGTATTTCCACATTCTTCATGACAGACTGGGGAATTATCTTGGTTCCTGACTCAACAAGGGGGCTGCTCTGCAAACACCAGTCCTCCTCAAAGACAGCCTTGGGCTCTCCAGTTCCTATCAGTAGGGAACCTCACCAGAACCCCTGTGAAGCAGAGAGAAGCATGTTTGTGAGAATGAAAGTAAATTAGGTCTGAACAAGATTAACAGGGATTTAATTGAACTGTGTGAACTGGAACTCCAGTCACAAGCTACTTATTAGCCTGCCTCAAGGGACTGTGCTGCTTGTGCCAGAGGAGCACAAGGATGCATTGTGAGTGTGGGACAGCTCAAGGGGATGGCGATGGCCACAGCTCTCAAGATGAGTGTGGTCAGAGAGGCAGAGCTGTGGGAATGGGATCAAAAACGAAGCAAGGAATTCTCAAGTCCCTACCATGTTTCTTCAGAGCTGAGGCTTGGTCTGTGGAGGGAGAGGAACTTCATGACAAACAATAGCAGAGGAAACTCATCTCCCAGCCCAGCTCCAGGGCCTTGGGTGGCAGAGCAAGGTGCTGCTTGTCCCATGCTGCCAACTACCTGGTATCTGGAGGCAGACCTTTGAAAACCTCCCCTTCAATAAAATTGACTTAATGAGGCCTTCAGCTCCCTTTGGGATGTTAATTACGAAACAGCCTGGAGAAAAATGCTTGGGAATTAGAGGAGTCACCACACTGGTCCTTCTCTAGCTTTGGTTTTCTGGTGAAGAAACCAACAGACGCTTGCCAGATCTTGGCTACCACTCTGGTCTTACCACTGTCAAGAAGAGCCATCAGCCAGCACCATACTCCTGCATGTAAACCTGAGCTACAGCCGAGGAGCTACTGGAAATCCCTATTACCAGCCTACTGAATCCCATCTAATCCCCTGCCTGCATTATTAACAAATGATGCCTTTATTATTGCTACCTTCATGGGGGCTCTTGGAGCCAAAATCTCTCCTGAGAGGCAAATTCATTTAGCCATTGTACCATTTCCTCCTTCCTTCCCAAGAAGGTGAAGCTGTACTGGGAGATAGTTCCCTGCTTCCAAGTCAAACACAGATACAGATGTACACATGCCTCACAGTATTAACTAACCAATTTCTCACAGATTAAAGGATCTGAAAGGCTTTCCCTTAATGGATCATTTTTATGAATAGGTTATTTATGTCCCTGTGTTCCTACAGTGTGAGTTCTGGCAGCTTTCACAATGAATGCATGGAAAAGGCAGCACAACTTTAAAAAGAGATTTCTTTTCAAACAAAGAGATTCTGATTGTATTTATTACACATGTCAAGAGAAACTAAAAACACGTGGGATATTCATCATCTCTAAAAACACACTTAAGTTCAGCTAACAAAAGCATTCAAATACTGTTAGGAACAGAGTGGGACATTTATCTTAATCCCTCCTCCCTCAACAAAGCCAAACCCCAACCACCATGATTTCTACTTAGCAATGAGTAAACCAGCCAAATGTAGATGTGGATGTAGTAGCCTGCTATTTCAGGTAACAACCACACAGCGCTCATTGCTAACTGGTTCTTGGCTGTAGAAGCACTTCTATATTTTGGGTAATGCATGTGCTACTCTTTCAATAGTTGCAGTTCCGTTAAAGCATTAACCCCCTCCTTTAGGCAACCTGCAGAAAACTGAAGTCTTTTCGATAAAACCATCACCATCCTCTTTTATTAAAATGGAAGAAATAATCTGCAGTACCTGTCCAGGGCAGTGGCCACGCTCTTCTTTCCCCTGCAGATTCCAGACAGGAACACAGGTTTGTAATGAAAACTTATAACACAATATTGTTCTTTGTTATTTGCCTGGGAAATTTCTGTAATGTTTCTTTGTACTGAGAACTCAAAGCAACGGTAGAATGCTTGTGTCTCCTATGCTTTGTTCTGTCCTAGGATTGCCTTTATGTAGCTTAAAAAAAGGAAGAAAAAGAAAATGCTGAATTTAAAGCAGAACTCTAAGCTGGATTTTAAGCAGTGCACCTTGGCGTCAGCATTCTGGTTAAGGGAAGCAGAGAGCCTGGAGCAGAGGAAGCAGTGAGAGGTTAATCAACCTGGTACTGGGATCCATTTGTCTCACCCACCGAAACCAAGAGCGAGCAGTGAACATGGCTGCTCTGAACACTGATGGTGTAAATGTGTTGTTCAACTCCTGTTAAAGAACACCCAGCACAACACTGCTACCGTATCTGGGCTCCCAAGGCATTTGTAAATTGAGGATGGGAGGCTATGAATGCAAAAAGGTTCTCAGACTTCCAGCCCTGCTAGAGAGAAGCCAGCCCTTCAAAGCCGCTCTGAACCCTGGGTGCGCCTACAAGAGCAGGTTCTCCTCCCATTGACTCATTCATGATCAAACAAACCAAGATGTGAGCTGGCTTCAGGAAGCTCGAGCTGCCCTACAGAGACTCTGTGGCTATGTCACCACCTATCTCTTTCCAGTCCTGTCTAGCCATATTTAAATCTAATATTAGGTTGTCCCTGGACCTGGAGGGGCAGAGCCTGAAGGAACATTGTGTATTATGTCTCTTGCTGTAGAGTCATGGTACACAGGCAGCTTGCCACCCCCTGAATCTCCTCAGGCTGAGATCATATTTAACTTCAGGGAGAATTCAGCAAGAAGGAGATGCAGGAGACTGCAGCAGGCAAGGCTGAGAGGGAGACTGCAAATGCAACAAGCCCCATCCATGTTGAAATGGAGCATGTGGTTGGTACTCAGCTGCCTGACGGAAGGTTTATCAACAGTACAGCCAGGCAGTGCTGTTTGATACACAACCAGTTCCCTGCTCCAAGACCTCAGAGCAGCTTTTCTCCAACACGCAGTACTTGGGAAAAGAAACTTGGGAACCCCATTAGCACACACATTAAATTTTGCACCTCCCAAAATCAAATTGTTCCTTGCTTTTTGCAGTCCCCACCACAGCCTCAATTCCCTGAATTGCATCTGCTTTCCAGGGTGGGAATGTAAAGTGCATGGGTGGGGAGTAAGAAAGGCAGCGACGCTGGGGAAATGAAAGCTTTCATCTACTCCAGTCTGGAATCTGATGAGTTATTACCTAAAGAATTAAAGAATATGACAAAGACATTATTATTAAGCCATAAAATGCAGCTATGTATTTCAGACTAGATGACAACAGAGATGAATGAATACAAAGCTGTGTAGTGTGGTATCCTTGATCCATTTGATCCCTCCGCCTCCAAAAAATACAACACAAACCAGTATCCAAAGTAGCAATCCATGCTCCACCTTCTCCAGGGACTGGACTAGGAGCCCCAGCCAGCGTGGTGGGGCTAGGACAACAGGCCTCTCTACCCATCAGGAATGAAAGAAGTCACTTTAATGGTGACTGACACATTAATCGTGTCAGATGAAGTCCTGGACATATGAAGTCCTCTTTGCTTATAAGAAATCTACGGTAGAACCCCACCCCTTCCACTCTTCTAAGTTCCTTCTCCCTTGTCTCTGAAAGGTAAAACATGGCAATGCCAGAGAACCATTTGATCTAGTGAGTTGCCTTTGATGTCATCTCCAGGGAAGCGTGATTGTAGGTGATTATTCTGCCTTTTGAGGCTCATTGCTCATGCCTTTATCGTTTCTTTTTGGTTTCCTTCTTAGGTTTCTTGCTTATCTGCGGAGCAGTCGCCTTTGGCTTCTTCACCGTCTCTGAATTCTTGGGCTCAAAACTCTCAGAGTCCTACAAGAATCAATTGAGAAACAGTCAGTAACTTGTTCTTATGATTTGCTGACAGCTCGCTTTGGGAATCTGAGTATAAGCCAAAGGAAGCAAACGCTGGGTGTCCCTGTTTGAACACTTCTACATCAAACTGAGCCTACGTTTAATGAGACTCAAGCAGCACCATCTCTGCTTCTCCTGCATGTGCTTTTTGATGAGTGTCAGTTTATGCACAGAAGCAGCTTGTTACCACAGAAGCCGTTAAGAGCTGAAGTGTCTAAAACAGCATTTGGAAAAGAAAAATAAAACCAACTTTAAAGGCAGTAAAATCAACGCTAAATGAAAACGATTCAAATTAGGAAAGGGAGAAGATATCAGATAATCACCAATGGAAACATTCACGGTATTTCTGATAAATGTTAACCATTATCATGGGCAAGACAAAAAATACCCCCCCCCCCAGCAGTAAGAATGCAAAGTTCAAAGCCTCCAAACTGAGCCCCAAATCCAGGGAGGGAATTGCAGGCAAAGCTTTTTTCACCTGGACTAACAAGGAATGCTTAGATTTGCTGCTTGTTTCCTTCAGGGAAGATGACAGATAGTATTTCAGCCCTGGGAAATAAAGTCTAGTTATCTTGTAAAAACACAAGGGAACAGCGCCAGTCTCATCTGAGAAAGCACACACATGCAGATTGCCTCCTTTCATTAAATGCATTTGAGTATAAATATTGCTTTAGCATCTTGGTTTCTATCAGTCAGTGTGTGCCAACTGGAAAAGGACACACAAAAAATGGCTGAGCAAGACGTGCTAGTTTCAGGCTTCCAAGACAGCGCTCCAGATAATGGAGGGGGAGGCGAGCATCCGACAGTATCCTTTTAATCAAAGAGCTTGGTTCAAACATCTCTCAAGTTACTGGGCTATTAAGGGTTCACATCTGTGTGGCTTTCCAAGGAAGGAGACTTGGCTGGCTTTCCAAGGGCTGTAATCAGTGTACGGAGAGCCAGCAGGCTCTGGAGGAATGGAGCAACATGCAGTATATTGCTCACAGATGCAGCTGCCGTAAAGGGAACACTGCTGCCTTCTAACGTTCAAACCAAGGTAGACTTCAAAGCCCAAAGCCTCTAAGACAGAGATCCTACTATCCTATCCAGACTCAAGCATCATTCCCAAGATCTGGAGGGGGAGCCTCTGGTGTTCACAGTCTTGTAAATTAGTCACATGGACAGTAAATCTAGAGGACATGTGGAGAAACTAAAAAGTAGAGCAAGCAAATGTCAAAGCATGCTTGCAAACTCAAATAGTAACAGGTCCATGAGTGTTAGCAGTTTAATTGCACGCCTGGTCTTCATCTTCACACTTCAAACTAAAGCTCTCACTCTTTCCAGCTTTCAAGAACCAGGTTCCTCAGTGCTTCTTAAATATTTATCAGGGGAAACCATGGACTATAACAGATGGGTGCTGGTGGCTGTAGAGTAACAGTGCAAGACTTGCAGTGCCACTGCATCGTGACCAGCAGCCATGACCATCATCTCCCTGCTGGGAGCTGCAGCTCCTGAGCAGGACAGAATGCACCCATGCTGGGGCAGTGTCACTAAGCCAGTACATCAATGCAACTTCACATCACACCAGCAGTTAAAGGTGGAAAAGTTGGGTCATGAACTACATCCTTCACACCATGCCTCGCCCTCAGGCATTCCCTTCCTCACATAGGCTGAAAATTTCCATGCTTCCTTCTGCACAAGGCAGATAAAGATAGCCTAAAAACAACACTTCCCATGCTGAGTTGTGACTGAAAATACACCACAAGCATTTAGATGAAATCTGTATCAAACCACCAAACTTGCTGCCTGATCACCAACACTGAAATCCCTGTCCCCAGCACATGGAGCTCTCTTATCCGAAAAGCCAGGGGGTTGCAGGTCATCCCAGTGGGGTCCAGGTTAGAGGAACAGGAGTCCTGTAGCTGCCTTCAATCTTTCACTTTAACCTTTTCCTGTACCAACTGCATTAAAGCATCCTTCACTTGGCGGCATAAGACTGGGTGTCAGTACTGAAAACTGCCCTCCTCACACTGGAAACCCAGACTGGTCTGTGTTGAAAGAGGCCTTAAAGCTCACCCAGCTCCAACCCCTGCCACAGGCAGGGACCCCTTCCACTAGAGCAGCTTGCTCCAAGCCCCTGTGTCCAACCTGGCCTTGAACACTGCCAGGGATGGGGCAGCCACAGCTCCTCTGGGCACCCTGGGTCAGTGCCTCAGCACCCTCACAGGGAAGAGCTTCCTTATATCTAACCTGAGTCTCCCCTCTGTCAGGTTAAAGCCATTTCCCTTGTCCCTACAGGCCCTTGTCCGAAGCCCCTCTCCAGGTTTCTTGTAGTCCCTTTAGTCACTGGAGCTGCTCTAAAGTCTCCCCAGAGCTTTCTCTTGTCCAGGCTGAATAAGTCCAGCTCTATCAGCCTGTTCCCAGAGCAAAGCTGCTCCAGTCTTCAAAGCATCTTTATGGCCCCCTCTGGACTCCCTTGAGCAGGCCCACACCCTTCTTACATATCTTAGATACCTTGTATATCTTAGAATATACTAGAAATATCACCTGTATCTTGTTCCCAACAACTTTATACAGACTAGAGCCCAAAGTAATTTCCTGAAAGGCAAGTCCTGCTAAGGGGAAACTGGCAATTAATAAAGCAAATCAACATGTGGACAATCTGGTGTTGGGACTAAAGCCACTTCCTGCATGGTCAGGAACACCATGTACATTTAGCACACCTTGCCAGTGCATCAGGTCACTTTTTTCACTGATACTTAGAGAGCCCCTGGCTCAGGTATTTGTTCCTGACCTTCTAGTACAGTGGTAAATCACAAGACAAAAGCTGAAGGTGGGAAAGCTGGAAGGAGGGAAAGAGAACAATGAAACTGTCATCAATCCCATCACTGTGTCTCCGTTAGCTACTCAAAGTTGCCTCCCATCCTACTTCCTCCAACTCTGCCCATGAGTATTAAAGAGCACTGCTTACTGTCTTATGGGATTTGGACACTGGCAGGATTATGGCCAGCACACAGATAAGCTGGAAAATGGCTCCAAAGAAGAGTCCGTAGCGTAGCACATTCTCCAGAAACGTGGGCTCAGGGATTTCAGGTGGGGAGAAATCCAACTCAGCAGCCATCGTGGGTGCACCCTTCTCCTCTAATGCTCTCAAGAGGACTGGTTACTACAAGGAGGGAAAAAAAGAGCAATTATTTGCATAATGTCTTCAGGTATTCACTTTCCATTATCAAAAAATGATGGACTACCTCATGCAGGTTTGTTGAAGACATACTTGACCTACAGAACCAATAATAAAGAGGGAAATGAGTGTTACATTTTATTTGGATGCTTCTCTTTTACCACCTGCCTATGAAAACAGTGCACCAATGCTACTATCAGTTCATTTGCAAGTGAGGGGAAGACAAACACAATATGTACAATGTTCATGAAACAGTATAGGAAAAGCTCAAGAAGAACAGATTTCTCCCTGACTTTCATGCAAGATGACTATTACACTGTATATGTGGTCACAGCCTTGTTAGTTTAGATGGTGTACAAAGCCAACTGCTACTTAAACCACACAGAAGGTAGATCTGTTGAAGACAGAGGATGTATTTAAAGTTAGGCAAGGTTTTAATGGCTGGTTACACACAATGCCTTGAGATGGTCACACAGGTAGTTTGTGGCAGAGTTAAACATTGACCTCCTGTGTCCCAAGCTAGTTTCTCAGCCACAGGACCATCCTTTCTTCCTTCCTTTATCTTTTGCTAATGGAGTAGTCAATTCATTCTATGAATGAGTAATGGCTTTCTACATTAAGGGAGAACTCTCCTGCCAGAATCGCTGGAGCACACCACAGAAAGTCCCAAAAGGGAAATTCGGTTAGTCTGAGATGCCATCAGAGCTCAGCTGTGATTACTGTCTGAATCAGTTCTCCTGACCTGGGTGAGCCTGGTGCATACTTATTGAATCAGCAGTACTTACTGATACTTACAATTCTCTGTATTACAAAAGCTTGGGTGTGAGATTGTGCTGCGTGAATGTTTCAGCTGAATGGTCCTGATCTGCCTCATAGAAATTATCTCTAAAGCAGGTTCTGTATTTCTCAGCCTAGGAGATTTCTACACTCTGCTGAGTGATCTAGTTCAGAAAGATGCTAAACTTAAGACTACAATCTGAGTAAAGTTATAGTTGATAAACTTAAGACAATTCAGTGCTATTGCATAAAAGGCAAGTGTCATTCGGCAAATGTCATGACATACTAAAAGGAGTGGTACATAAGTTACAAGAAATAATTTTAATTCAGCTGAAATGTGGGATATTATTTTGAGCTCTGAAAGAGAGGGGAAATTCCAAACTGCATGAGCTGCAGCCCCAGGAAAACAGAGACTGTGGAATCCCTGTTACTGGTGATTCAGAGGAGCAGAGCAGATAAGCCTTCACCTGGGATGGGGTGTGAGTGTATATAATCCTGCCTCCAAATCAGGCACTAAGAACAAGCGAACTCTCATGGTCCCTTCAGGTCTGGACTTCAGTGAAAGGGTTGGTTCTTTTTTTCCTCAAATTCTGATTAAAACTCAGTAAGCAAAAGCCATGTGGGACCCGTGCAGAAAGCCACAACACACACTGGACCACTCAGACTCAGCAAGTCCCAACACAGCCCCAGAGGCTGCACAGGGCATACCACAGTGTCAACAAAGCATGAACGTGGCTCATCCCTAACTGCTTTTAAAGTTAAAAAGGCCCTCTCCTCCAATCCACTAAGGCAACAGCTCCTCAGCAAGAAACAGAACCATGGGAAACTTCACCCTTGAATTGCATTTTATCACAATGTTATTTATGGGGCTATCTCTTGAAAACGTTATTCTTGCCCACCCCCTTCCTCGAACAGCACAGGAAGGGATGTGGCTTCATTCCTCACCTGGAGTTTTCTCAGGACAAACTCCTACTGAGAATCCTGATTCATATACCAGAAACAGAGCACACAAAAATAAACTAGAAAAAGAAACTAATACAGTGAAAACAAATAATCCTCATCTTCTGCAAGTCTCCTCCTCCTTTCCCCTTTTCTGTTTCGCTTCCCTTGAGGGTATTAGTAATTCTCTAACAAATCCCAGGTGACGTGACCAGCATCAGGAGCTATCAAGCAGGCTGGCAGCAGCTGCCACTACCATTTTAAGCATTACCCCATGAAATATGCCCAGAGGACCTGACATCGTGCCCCAACTAGTCAGTGTCCTTGCTTGCACAGGAGCCACAGCAGGCAACCCCCATTCCGACTTATCAGTGGACCTAAAGTAATGCTTGCAAAATTCTTCCCTGCTTTAAAACCCCTGTGGTTAACACAGCACCCAAACCTGCCCAGGCAAGGAGGCTGGAGCTTACATACATGAGCAGGCCAAAGCTGAACCTGGGGGAAGCAGGCTTCAGCCTTCCCCACCATACCCAGAAGCTTGCATTGGGTTTCCTCACTGCAAGCACAACCTCCTTGCACTGTACGTTACAGCTTGTCCAGCAGTTCCCTGGATGACAATGGAGTTTTCCTCCCTGCTCCCGAGAGGCTAACAGTTTTATCACCTCTTCCTTGGCTGCTTCTTCTTCTTCACAAGTTATCAACCACGTTTTCCTCAGACCACCTCACCTATTAACATGGCTACAGTTAAAGTAACTGTTCTTAAACTGCATTTAAAGATGGGTACTCCTATGTTAGACCCTGAGAAGACACTTCTCCTTCACCCCTCCAGCTTACTTACCTGGTCTCACAGCAGCTACCACCTCTCTCCACAAACTTAGCCATCTTGCTGGAACATCACAGCAGAAATAGGTCACAAACAGATCACAAACACGTGCACTTTGCTATGGGAATTGACTTTGACTATTTGCCTCTATCAGGATTTTACAGCAAACACCTACCCCTGCACAAAAGGGTGCAAAGCCAGAGCTGCACCACAGGACCAGTGAGGGGCCACTTAGGGCTACAGGCTTGTGCTCTTCCACAGTGCCACCACTGAATATGCAACCATCTCCCTAGACACAGGATCAGACCCTATCATACATAACTGTGTGTTTTCAGGATCAGGGCCATAAAACAGCCACCTCAATGGAGCTAGGGCACACTCAAACCTTTCTTCTTGCTGTCCTGTGTTTCCCAGCTGGCATCTTCAAGACCTAGCACTATATAAATAATCACTGTAGGACAAAACTATAGAAGCACTTGAAGTGATAGGCATTATCTTCCTGTTGGGGTGGAAAAAAGAGCAACGGTATTGGTGCAGAAGACAAAAGCTGTTGTCAAAGGCAAGAAATGACTTAGTAGGTGCTAGGATGGAGACTGGCCCATATGGCCTTCAGGGGGATCTGCGTGCGCTCAGCACCGCTATAAACAGCCATCACCGGGGCTGAACAGCCCGGCTGCAGGCTCACGGGCCCGCTGCCCCCAGCCATACGAGGGTCCGAAAGGAGAAGCAGCCGTGCAGCCTCAGCGCAGGACACACACACAGCTCCTCCTCCCTTCTCCACGGGACCGCGCTCTGCCGCTTCTACCCGCCACCAGCCCGGCTGCAGCAGGAGGAGCGGCCGCTGCGGAGCCGGCGAGGAACCCCTGGGGCAGCGCTCCAGCAGAGCCCCTTCCAGCAACCCCGATACAGCCCCCAGACCCCATCCCCGGTCCGCTCACCGCCCCGCTCGGCCAGGCCTCACCGTGCCGGAAGTGATCTCCGCCCAACCGGAAGCGGGCCCCGTCCCTAGCAACCGCCCGGGGCGCCGCGTTGCTAAGGGCGGCCGGCGGGGAGGCTCCGCCGCTCGGTTCCTGCCGAAGGCCCCCGGGGCCGCTCGGCTGCTCCCGCCCCGGCTGGGGCCTCCTGGGGGTGCCGGCACCCGGGGGTCCCCACAGTAATCAAGCACCCCAGGGTCCGTGTACTCACCCCCTCCATCAGTGCGAGCTCCTTAATCCGCACCATCAATACCGTGGCCTTTCAGTCCTGGCGGGTTTCTCTTTACCCACAAGGTTTTGATGTGCTCCCGTGAAGCGCTCTGGCAGTAACAATTAAGCCACACGCTTCTGGCTTTGCTTCTGGCCAGGGATTTATTTTGTTTTTTAATATTCCAATTCAGCATCCAGCTCTGAAATGGAGATGTCTCGATAAGATGGAAAATCAGCTTGTGCTCTGTTTGGCTCGTTTGTGGTATTTAAAGAATGTGATTTGTTTTGCCCTTTTCCTAACCCTAAAGTGTCAGGGGTGCCAGGGTAGTTTTGCTGCAGAGCTTTACTATCAGAGAGCCTAAATACTCTGGGGAAAACCTAATCGGTTGCTTATCTACTGAAGGGAGTGAGGTATGGCATTTGAAATGAAAGGATTATCTAGGCTGTTGCCAAGCATTTGAATTAAACGGATATTAATGAAACTATTTCAACGGTTTTGAGCAATTGGATTAAACACCTTTCATCCTTTTTAGTGCAGAAGCCTTTACAGACAACTGGAGAATGCACACGGCTGCGAGCTGCAGAGGCCAGAGACACCTGGACGATGAAATTCTTCTAGTATAAAAAAACCTAAAGAGAAAAAGACTCTTAAATAATTACCAGAGCTTTCACTGCCCCTGGTGAGCGGCTGCACGGGGTGAGGGCTGAATGCAGAGGCTCAGGGAAGGTGGTCGGTTCTGCCCTTTCCGCTCCCAAACACTGGCTGTTGAGGACACAAAGGTACTGAATGTATTGTGAATGTCAGGAGAGATCCTCTCAGTATTAAATTCCCCCCAACACACTGAATTTGGTGGTGCTGCTGCCCACACACCTTCTCATGGGCTCTGATCCTCCCACTTTGATGTTTGCCCACCAAGGGGAGAAACACACACTTGGATTCCAACTGATCCGGTACATTTCCTTCATTCTCCTCCTCTCCCCCAACAGAAACAACACTACTTACTCTACGTACAAAGAGGTAAGTGGGATTTGCAGATCTGATGCAGCTCCTGCCCATTCCCTCTGCTGCTATCCAGCCCCTGAGGCTGTGGAATCCAGCAGCACCAGCTCTGCTCAGGAGACACTCGCCCTTCCAGCCGCAAGCAGGTGGTGCCATTAGCCTGCTACGGCTGCCTGTCACCAGCACCTCACTGCCCCATTCCATTCAGCTGACTGGGGAATGATTAAAAAGGAAGCCATTTATATATATATATATATAAGAGAAGATATTTTTCCAAAGCCCACGAGATGTGAGTGGGTTTCAAAGCTTAAATTGATTCAACAAGCAGAAATGTCCATTTTGTGAGCACTCAATTCTAAGCAGAGACAGAGCTCAGGCATGAAGTGTTTCTCCACATCCAAATCATCCTTAGCTTTTTTAGTTCTTTCTACAGGTCTCCTTTCGTTTGCACTGCAGTGTTTCCTGCATGTCTTTGCAGTGAGACCCGTTTGCTATCATTCCTTAAACATGTATATCATATACTCATGCACCAGTCTTTTCATCCTCAGGTTGCATCTTACTCAGCCAGGAGAAAATTAATTACAAGTGCTTTCACTTTTCAGCCCTTACTGGAAACATGGCCTTCCTCATTCCCTCTCCATAACCAACACTTCACTTTCTTGGTACCAGTAACACATCTCATTAAATTCTAAGTTTTATCAGAAGCTTTCAAACTGCTTTCCCAAGATGAGCAGAAACAGCAGCATTTGGATTCTGACTCAAAACCAAGTGACAGAAAACACACAGACCAACACCCAGGTAGGAAGTGGTGGTGCTGGGGCAGTCACTGCAGCTCTCTGAGCAGAGGGTGGGTGTTCACAGACCCTGCCTTTACTCTGCTTCTCCACCCCAAAGGTCTCAATGTTAGGACTGAAGCTGGCTCTCTCCAGCTGTAATGTGCTGTGTGTAACCTTCTAGCTCCTTTCCTAACTGAAATGAGAGTGGTAAGACCAAAGAAAAACTCCTTAATTACTGAGATTCACTTCTGGCATCTGAGCAGCTGGGATTGGAAGAGGAAGGAGGTGGTGTGTAGAGAGCCAGAAATTCAGGAACCAGTAACTCTTGAGCCTACAGCTGAGTATCACATGCTGATGTCTGGCTGAAAGTCTTGGCGCTTCACTTGGGTGATGCTGAAACGCCCCAGCAGCTCTGCTAGGAAATAAACAGCACCAGACAGGTACGAGCTCTATACATGGATCTCACCCACAGAGCTCTTCAGCCTCCTGACAGATACACACCTCGCTGGCTGGTGCCATTTGTTCCTTTGTACTCTCAGTGCTACATTAACGTTTGAAGATGAAGTAGGCTTTTCAAGCAGGCTTTAAGCACTATGAGACAGTCCTTTCTAACGGCACTTCTTGCACATTTTGAATTACTGATTTATTTTGCTTATTTCAAATCTGATCCCATGCCTCACACTCATCCAGAGGGACTCCTTACTTGAGATCGGTTTGATAAATGTTTGTGTTCAGCTTCCTACCAATCCGAATTCCTCAAGGGAAAATTCTCCCCAGGAAATCTACTGATCTTCAAAGGGTTGAGTCAGGAGGATCTGAAGATCCAAACCCCCACAATTTATCCTGCCAAAGTGAAGAAACCAAGTCTCATATGGTTTCTTAATGGCAAGTCTCACCTGCTGGGTTTAAATTTTGGGTTGTTTCTTCCTTAGAAGAAATTGGCAATGTGGGACAAATCCTGTCTTTCTCATTTTATATTTCCACAGAAATCATGTAATCAGAGACTGGTTTGAGTTGGAAGGGACCTTAAAGTTCATCCAGTTCCAAACTCCTGTCACAGGCAGGGATACCTTCCACTAGAGCAGGTTGCTCCAAGCCCCTGTGTCCAACCTGGCCTTGAACACTGCCAGGAATGGGGCAAAAGTGATTGCAAACTTAGGAATGGAAGCTCCTGTGTACACACTGGTAATGGACAATGTAATCAAATGATTGATGATGAACTTACTTACGCCTTAGTTCTGCCACTTGGGATATTAGAACCAAAATATGTCACATCCTTCCTCTAAGATGGCAAACCTAGGCAAAAGTGTAACTTCTAAGGCAGTTCTGTTTGATTTACCACTAGAGCATTTGTGGTAAGTTAGTCACCACTACATCTCTTACATAAATAAAACCAGAGAGAACAGCTCTGTGGGGCTCTATTGGAAGTGGTGGAGATTAGAGAAGCTGGGGACCAACAGCCACCATCTGTGCCATTTTGGGGAAGTGCAGAAAAGCTTTTGATAGCTGAGAATATGGGATAGGGTTTTTTGCCAATTGATGGGTTACTTTTTACTGTCATTAGTTCTACCTCACAAAGTAAGCAGGACCATTTCACATCCTGCTCAGCTTATCTGAAGCACTACGTTCTGCACCTGGAATAGACAGGGGCCATTTTTTAAATCATGGCAGGGAGACTGGAGGAGGTAGAGCTAAGAGAAAATCAATAAATACGTGGGAAATTCTGCAGGATCCTAACACTGTTCTTTGTCAGCTAAGGACTGACACTGAAATAAAAGGAGCTGGTGTGCGCTTCACCCAAGGACCCTACAGATGCTCGGTCTGGATATGTGATCCAGCAGCAGAAGGTACCTATGGCAGCACATACCTGGCTGTAGACTTCACTGGGTTTGCACCCAGTGAGGACTTGGATTTAGAGGGCAAATAGACAGTTATCCACTGCGTGATGCTAACCTGGGAGATAATTTGAGTTACATACCTGTGTTTTGGGAGCCAGTGGATGCTACCAAAACCAGCTGTGGCAGGGACCATGAGAACCAAAACCATAGTTGCCAGCTCAAATACACGCTGCAACATGAATAGATGGATGCAAAACCAGATCCAAACAGCACTGGATCCTATCACAGTCTGTAGCATCTTCATGCAGAGACATTAGCAGCCAGAGCTCCCACTGTGGGACTCAAGCAGAGGCTGAATGCTGGCAGTAATGGTGATCACAGCCGTTTCTGCTGCAGCAGAAGTAGCCTCACTAACCAGAGAGCTCATGGCATCTGCTGAAGGAGCTCCACAAATGACCCTTGTGGGTCCTGGGAAGATACAAAGGTTCTGCCTGAAGCTGGGACAGGAAATCCTGGGAACAGAAGAGCTGCTCTATTTATGCTATTCCAGAACTCCTAAGCTGGATACACCCGACAGAGCCTGGAGGGGTTTTAGACATTTCTGCTGCCCCCTGCAATTAAATCAGAATTAATAGAGAGAGCTTGTTGTGTGAGTCTTGCTGGGTGCAGCTGTGCACGACAGGAGCCCAGCCCAGGCAGCACAAGGAAACCCCTAGCATGATAAGAGTTTTATACAGCCTTCTTTGAAAACAGCTCACTTGAGATATGAATGTGGATCACAGCCCTCCTAATCCAAGCTGGGCAGCAGGCAGCTATAAACAAGTCCATTATAGACTGATTCTCCTTGATCTAACAGATATTGCCCAGTATCTCACAGCAGCTTTGCGTAAGGCCAGGCAGAGAGAGAATCAGCTCAGAACCATGCTATAGGATAATACCTTGAAATAGTGTTGGCTCTCAACTGGTTTAACAACATGGTCTGATTCATCTGTTCAGCCAGTGTAGCACCAAGACAGTGGAAGAAAAATAAGTCATGCTGAAAAATTGGTGCAGCTGACCTCACACATGAGAGAACATGAGCAGCCTGCTTCCAAAAAGCAGTCCGCAGAGACAGAGCAAAGCTGTGTGCACCAGAACAGGGATTCTGGAAAACCACTTCTGTGCTACCCAGAAATCCCCTTCTCCAGTGCCCATGAGTAGATGATACAACTGCTATACCTGCCGGATTTGCTTGGTAGATCCTCTCCCCATGAACAGGCTGGTGGAGGAAGGCAGTAGTTCTTGCTTCTCTTCCCATTATTGTTGTGTTTCTGGATTCCACTAGAAGGACCCTGGCTCAGTTCAGGATCAGCTCGAGCTCCTGCTTTGGTCCATTCAATCTTTTCTTTTTGTGTTTTCTCTGCAAAGTGGCCTGGTCCTGATCTGTTACCAAAGGGAACATGAGCCCGTGGAGCACCCAGCAGGGAGAGCCCAAAGGCACTGGTGCACAACTGTTACTTAACACCAGAGTCACCTGGCATGCTGAGCTCACTCCAGCCTTTCCAACTGTTGGGTTATTGCTTACTGAGAGTCCATGGTTTGGAAGGAGGATGTTGCTGCACTAAGGAGTGAGCCATAATCACAGTGCTGATTTCTCACCTTGGCAAGCAGCAAAGGGGAAGAGGGTTAGAGCAGCGCTGAATGCTTCTGCTTCCCTGCACACACACAGGCACCCATGTGCACACCAGAAGCACCATCCCTCCCTGCTGCCCATCTCTGCCACTGATAGTTGTGATGAGTGCTCTGGTGCAAGGTGAAGGTATGACAGGCATGCACATGAAAGCAGATATGAGTCAGCTCACCTGCTGAAACTTCTTCCCTACGTCGAGTCACACAAGCCCCGAGACAGGAAGGTCTGGGTCCCCATCAATTCTGGGCCTTATAAAGCTGCTATGAAAAATGTGGCAGGTGGAGCTCATGCTGGCACCTCATTTTTCACTCTTCTGAAATGTCCTGGTCTTCTTGGCACCATGGTTATGTGTTCTTTTAATGGGGCTTTCACAGACCTTGTTCCAGGACTGAAAACAGCCGCAGCACCCCAGGGAAGACCCCTGCCTTTTCCCAGAGCACATGGAGGGAGCAGGGTTCTCCAGCTGCTCTGTGAGCTTGATGTGAAGCTGTGATGTTTGTGAGGGACTGAAGCATCAACTGCCCCGCTAACGCTGCAGGTGTGAGTAACAAAGGAGAAGGAGGAAAAGGCTGATAATCAAAGAAAAAGAAGACAGCAAAAAGATAAGCCCTCCTGAGTAGGCAGTGTGAGAAAGTGTTAATGGTTAACTCGCTGTCATTGTGGAATAAAGGGAAAAAATGCAATTGCAAAGGGAAAGAGAAGTTTACCTTGCAAAGCAAGTTTGCCATTCACTTCACCAGATTATTGTTGTTATTTGCTCTTCACCCTTTGAATGCTAAAGCATGCAAATGACCCCTAACGGCAGGCATAACCCTCTGCCCACAATGTCCCTGCCTGTATCCCTGCACACACACACAAAGAGGATGCTAAACACGGCATGGAAATGCAGAAGGATAATTGATTCTCTGACGTGTGGAAGCCCACAGGACTCCTGAGGGAGCACAGGTATAAAAGGAGGAGATGCACCTCGCTGGCAGCCAGAGGACAGCTGGGGGAGATCCGAGTGTCCTCCTTGCTCAGCACGTGTCTGGTACCCAAGACCCCACAGGGCTCACAGAGGCAGCTCTAGAGAAGAAGTTGTGTTTGCAACAGGGGAAGGAAGCACCCGGGCAGGAGCCGATCGAGGGAGCGCCTGTTTTCTAAGGGTAAGCATGAGCCTCTGTATGTGCATGTAACAAGATAATGGCTATATGGAAATTGGAGACAGTTAAATTACACTGAAATGCAACCAAACTGGCATCAGTAATCAGCTTTGGCAGGTACAATAGCCTTTGTATCATGCAAGACTTTTGTAACAAGTTACAGAACAAAACAGTAATTGAACTATAGGATAAATGCAAACAAATAGAATTATAATATAGATGAGCCTTGTAAAAACATGTTAGATGCTTACTGGCCGTAGCAGAGTTTTCCTCTTTTGCTATCTGGTGTGAATTCCTTTTACCCTGGAAAACAAAGGGTGTTTTACTTACCTGCTGATAAAACTGTGTTTGAGCCAAACCAAAGTATGAGGAGAAACACAACAGAGTTGTTGTACGTAACGTGAGGCAGAGCAAGGCACTGAAAAGCATTTCTGCTTTTCTAATGTAGGATTTCATACTAGAAAAGTCTGGACTTTATAAAACAGCAGGCATGGGAAATGCTTCATTTCATCTACACTGGTATTTTTAAGAGTGATCAGGTCAGGGTTTCAGAACCAGTACGATGTAAGTTACCCACCTGCCCAACATCATTTCCACAATGCTGCTGTTAATGCTGCACAGGGTGGAATGAAGCTATTAGGCTTTATCTGCTGGAATGGTGCGAAAAGCTCTTCATCTTAAGGGCAATTTATTTATTAATCATTTTTGCACATGCTGCCAGAATGGAAAGGAAGGTGTTCCTCACCTCAGGGGAACTGCGAAGGTGACAAGGCTTTGCAGAGCTTCCAAGTTGCAGGAGACACTTCAATTCCCAGTGTCTCCTCTGCAATATGGGAAGGGGTGCAGGACCTTGATTTCAGACTCCTTCCCAAGGGAAAAAGGGGAACAGAAACACCCCAAAAGCTAGGATAAGAAGCAGACTGTAGTTAAGAGAGAGAAGCCAAAACAAGACAGGAGGAAAAAGGCAAAGCCAGAAACAATTAAAAAGAAAAGAAATCAAATAATAGAGAAAGAAAAACCAAAAAAATCTCAAAGGGACAAAAAGTGGTTCTGGAGAAAACCCAGCATGCAAGGATGAGAAACCAGGTACAGAAAGTGGTAATTGGGGCTGTATCCTAGGAAATAAAAAGGGCTTGGTTTTCATTTACATGGATACATCTCAGCTCACACAGCAGCTTTCCTGGGACTGATTAAATCTCCTGGTTGACACTTTCTATAGATGCAGGTGCCAGAGTCTCCTGGTACCCCCCAACAGATGCTTTAGATCATCTCCTCTGTGTGGAAAGATTGTATTTGGGATTTGTTTTGGAGCTATTTAGGGGAGAGCAGAGAAGAGGAATGTCTTTTCAAGTTCAAATGAAAAAGAGGGCAAGCAGGAAAACTGCACTAAAACCAGAAGCCCTGTGGGTCTCTTAAAGTCACTTCTTTTGCTTCTTCTGAGCATTCCTCAGCTGTCTGAGGCAGTCAGAGCAATTCCATAACAGACCAGGTATGAGAGGAAGCCATGAGCTCACAAGAGCCAGGAGCTGCTCCCAGGGGAAGAGACAGGAAAGCTGCTGGTCCTATGCCTGAGAGCATAAGCAACAGGAACCAGGCTGAAAATGAGTTTGTGATAAGAAACCCCATTTCTTAGTGCACCACCTTTCCCCATGGCTGTTCCTGCACTTCTGACACTGCCACTAGTTCTGTTCTCTTCTATGGTACCAAGGTAAGACCCACTTGCAAGATCCCCAGTCCTTACCCAGCCTTCCCTCACTGTGTTATCTTACAGTCAGGAGAGTGGGCAGCTGCGTCTGAGCAGGAGAACAGAGCTCACTGCTGATGTTTTCCATCAGAAGGGGCCCCCTCCTAGCACCACCACCAGTAAAATCCACTGCTTGGGAAGGCTGTTTGGGCAACTAGAAGCGCAATCAACCCCTTTCCATTCAGAAGCTGCTCCTTTTGAAAGAAAGTATTGGTATACATTTGGAAGGTTGTTTTTCTTCTCTCTTACGGAGATCAAACACCTTTCTGCTCTTTTCTGCTATAAAATAAGACAGAGAACAGTGAAACTTAGTATTTTAAAGATTTCTATCCACATTCTTAAAGAATCTTTTTTTGAGCAAAAGATCAATCACTTTCAATGGAAACTCAGGAAGAGCATTCACTGAAATACCTTCCTCCTGTCCTTCGCTTCCAGAGACAAAAGCTCCTGAGGGTGTGCAGCCTCAGCCCACTGTCCTGAGTCATTCCCAGCCCCAGGACATGAAGCAGTGTCTGTCAGAAGGCAGACAAACACGGCTCAATTCCATCTCACCTTCCACCAAAGCTGGTGCTCAGGGCTGGGTAGACACCTCACCAAGTGGTGCTGGGGGCTCCTCTCAACACAGCAGCAGATCAGCCCTCCTGAAGGGATGTGTTTTGTTCAGTCCCCCCCTCTACCCAAGCACACTGACTGAAAGTTATTGTGGTTTGTCTGGCTAACCAAGCTCAGCACTTGGCCTCCCCTCACTGCCACTGACTGACTGCTCTCCATTTCAGGTGACTCCAAAGGGTAGAAGATGCTGGATAAGGCCACCCTGCTCCTGTTCCTGCATTTAGTCACATGCTCCATCTCCTCTCCTCTCTACCCAGCTCTCAGGTAAGCTGCTGAGTGTTTTGGCCATGCTTCATCCCTGTGCAAAATAAGCACATGCCAAATTAAGGTTGCCAGCACTTTGGATGAACTGTATGTGTGTTGGTGAAGCCTATTTCTTTGCCATGGCTTAATTCTCTGGGTACACTACTAGCCTAGGGGTGGTTTCCAAAGGCAGCAGGCACCTGATGGAGTATTTCAGCCCAGCTGGTCTTAGAATTGAATGCTGGGTTCTGTAAAGGGAAACTGGCAATCTCCAGAGCAGGCAGCGCCTCCAGCTCCATCACTGGTTACAGTCTGTGCCTGCAAGTCAGAACTGCAGATGTTCTCATCCATGAACTCTGCACCTCCTTAGTGTACTCCCTGTTACAAATCAATGGAAGCACAAGGTCCTATAATGTGGATTTGCACGTCTCATAGATAATGCTTTAGCCTTGTGCAAAGCCATGGCATAAGGATACTAGAACTGCTGGAATTTTGCTTGAGGGTCCTGGGAGCTCAGTGAAGAGGAAGTGTGTTTGAGGCAGCTCTATTAACCATCTTTTCACTGCTGAAATAGCTTCAGGACAGTTTCTAGTTGAGAATAGTGACAAACACCACTTGCACTACTGAGGAGATGGGCATGGCAAAAGGAGAAAGAAAAAGTGGAACAGGGAGAAGTGGTCAAGAAGACTGACCCCTGACTGGCTACTGAGCACATCTCACTGCACACCTTGGGTTCCTTTTGCAGGTACAGTCCAGGGCTGGTTGCTGGCAAGGCCATGAACTTCCAGCTACAGCGCAGCAGCCCATTGCAGAGCCATAACCCCTCAGGAAAGGAACAGGAGGAGGAGGGTTTATTAACAGACCCCACTGAGAAAAGGTTTGTACCTCACCTCTCAGCCCTGCTGCAGCCAGAATACACCAGTTACGATCTTCCCCTAGCCCAGGAGCAGACCAGAAGGCTGCTTAGTCCCACCAGCACCAAAGTCCAGGCTCCAGCTGAGCCCTGCAACTGCAGCAGGGTCTGATCCCTCACCATCACCAGTGCCCAGCTTCCTGCTGTCCCCCAGCAGCAGGGATGTACTGATGGGCCTGGTCACAGGCCCAAGGCTCCTGCAGGGAACATAATATCCACCAAGCCCTGGGAATCCATTTGCTGGTCATCAGAGCCTCTCCTTTCCACCCCTGCCAGGAGATGAAGGATGGTTATTTCTCTCTAAAGCACAGAGGACTCATTCTTACAACAGTGGGTGCAGCCAAGTGGCTTGTGCTCCCCTTAGCTGTGGGTGTTTAGGAACCTGGGTCTAACCACAGGCTAGAGACCTGCTGGAGGTTCCTGTCACCCTGTCCCAGGCACAGCCCTTCCAGGAGGCAATGATGCCACTGCAGAGCTCATAATGTCCCAGCCCCCACTCTGCCCTCTCCCAGCTTGGGGTTATCCTCCTCCTTTCCACTACTTTTCTGACCTCACCATTGCTTTTCAGGCACTTCTCCTTATTTGTTTTAGTGTGGATACTGATTAACAGACATTTTATTTTGGCTGCTCCCTCAATGTCAGAACTGAGCTCCCTCAAATCCTTTTACCCTCCAACACTAACACAGTCCAATACCAAAAGCCATTTGCTGTGGTTACCTGTCCCTGACAGCAGCAGTGTTCCATCCAGTGCAGTTTGTGATGTGAACCACCCACTTCTCACCAGGAAGGCTCAGAGAGCACGGCCTGTGCTTGTCTCTTCCCGCAGGACGCAGCGCCACGCGGATGCCATATTCACTGACAACTACCGCAAGTTCCTGGGGCAGATTTCTGCCCGCAAGTTCTTACAGACCATCATTGGCAAACGCCTCGGGTAAGCCACAGCCCTCTGCTGGCCTAGGGCTCATGTTCTGTTATTACACTGGGCACTTGCTTTCATCCAGGTAGAAGAAATAGCCACCTTCTACTGCAACAGAAGCAAGCTCTCCTGCTGTTCCATACCCCAAAGGGCATCCTCCATCCCTGTGTCTTGGATCCCCCTAATCACAACTATCATTAAGCAGCTTAATTAATCTTTTCCTCCAAGTCTATAAGTGTCAAATTAGCTGAGAGCTTTACCATAATACCAACAAGCGATAACAGTTGCAAAATATGATGAGGTTGTGAATGCTCCATCCCTGGCAGTGTTCAAGGCCAGGTTGGACGAGGCCTTGGGTAATATGGTTTAGGGCGAGGTGTCCCTGCCCATGGCAGGGGGGTTGGAACTTGATGATCTTAAGGTCCTTTCCAACCCTAACTATTCTATGATTCTATGAAAAAAGTTACAATGCTCATTCAGGAAAGAGGTATCCCTGGCCTTTGTTTGAAGAAAGAAATCAGCCTCTCCACAATGATTCAGGGAGCTCTGGCTGGATAGATCAGTTCTTGCCACTAAATAAGACCAACTAGTCACTTGAAAGCCAGCTCTGCTCCCTGTTCTAACACAGGAGCAAACAGAGCTGACAATTCCTTACTGAAATTAAGCATTAATTAAGCTCCAGGCTCAGACCCAGCAGGTTTACTCACTGTGCTGCTCAGCCTGAGCAAACCTTTCCGTGAAGGATTAAGAAGCATCTTTGAAACAAAGATGTTTCTCATCTTTGCATAACAGCAGCAGTGAGAGTAGCCCGGGAGAAAGGGTACATGGATTCCTGACAAGGCGCCAGTCTGACAGCATCCTGATGGACAGCCGCTATCACCAGCACATGGTTCTGCTGGACTTCCTGGGAGCCATTCTGCAGAATCAGAGGTAGGTGGGAATCAGTTTGTTACCTGCTCACTGCAAGAACAGGACAAGGTCCTTACTGCTGTCTGGCTTCCACATATAAAGCTGCTGGATTAATTTAAGTACACTCAGGGAAAGAATAAAGCTCTTACCTAACCCCATAACCCAGCCTTACATGGGCAAGTAGGGTGCAGATAGGAGCAGCCTGCCCTGAGCCAGCCTGCACCACATCACTGTTCTGTCTTCTCAACCCTGTATTTCAGTAAAATACCAGTGGAAAGACAACTAATTTCTCCCTCAATCCCAATCCTACCATCACTTCCCCATTCTGCTCTTTCACAGGCCTCAGGACATCTCCAGCAGTCAGTTAGAAAGCTTTCCCAGCACCCTGGCTAAGCTCATGTAAATATTTCTCCCTTTTCCATCTCCCCATGCTCTGGTGAGTACCATTCCCTGCTCAATTGTGTACATAACACGCTGCTGCTGCACTGCTCAAGCTGTTTGAAGGCTCCCCTTCAGAGACACCAACTCCCACTGCTGCCCATGAAAAACAGGTGCTTGCTGCAATTTAAGGGGAGAAAACTCCCACTCAATTTTGTCAAGTACCTTAAGTCCTGTCAGGCTGAACAGAGCACAAGTGTTGTGAAGCTGCATGTGGATGTGTGGTAACAGGCTTGGAGCCTTGTAAAGCCATCTGAGCCTGTGTGCCCAAGTGTTTAAGCTTGGCTAAAGGCAGACAAAAGCCCTTCCCCAGGAGCAGACTCTGCCTCTAGATCCCTGGGACACTTCAGGTTTTCCTTGCACTGAATAGGAGGGGAAGTCTTACTGTTTCCTGTACCCCTCACCCCTAAAAGTCATCACCTGAACCCTGAATTACACTGTAAACCCTGCCAGCCCTGGGGGGCTGAGAACTGGCAGACAGTCCAACCTTGGGGAAACCTTCACTCGTACAAACCTCAGTTGTTCTGATTGAAGCAACATCTTACTTCTGTCCCACAGAAATTAAACCTGTCAACAATACAAAGGGGCATGGAGAGCCCTGTGTGCATACTGAAGGGGGGTGGGGAGGGAGAAACTGTGCCTATGGATTCAGCTGGGAGAACGTGGCCTTGCAGCATCTCTCTTGTGATGCTTCACTTGGTTACCTTTCCACAAATAAGGTCAGCCAGGACAAGCCTCCAAAGAATTAAGACTTCTGTGTGTGCTCACAAAGTTTCCTCATAATTCTCTTTTCCTTCTGCTTCTGTCTAGAATAACTCAGAGCTCTTGGGCCTGACTGTACAGTCACCTCCACAGCAAGGAAGACGTTCCCAGGTGTGAGCAGCTAGACACTGATGCATATGCTCCTCAGATCTGTTCAAAGGAACGCACTTCTGATGCATCACTTCATTTACTTCAGTCTTTAGAGTCTCACTGCCCTCTCTAAATACTGGTCTGTGTACTGAATCAGACAAAAACCCCACCTCCATGGCTTAACCTCAGGCTGCTTTACATACAAAACCTAAACCAACCAGTACACTTGTGATCCTGGGGACATACTGTCTACTGATTAAGGCTTTCAAAGCACAAAGAAGAGCAAAATTTCTGCCAAGTCATCACTCTGTTTGAGGGCCTAATTAATGAAGCCACCCAAAGGCTCCTTTAGGCAACTTTGTACATTGATTGCAGCCTCCTCTAAATAGATGCTGATGGCACAACCACACGCAGCTTGGATCAGGGGGAGGCAAGACATGAATCCACATGTCTACCACCCATTAGAAACACCGCTGTGGGCTGCTACTGTCTCCTTGGCACCAAAACCGAACTCTAAAATGCTCAGCTAAAGTTCCTGCTCAGCCTTGAGGTGTCCAAACTGAAGCTAAGCTCTGCAAGAGTTAAAGGGAGATCCCTGTGCATCAGATTGGGCTGGCACTGTTTTAATTCAATGTGCCAGCCAGTGGCTCTGAACACGGTGGCAAGTTACAACTGTAAATGTTTATTAACCCAGTGCTCTCATGCAGCTCCTTCCTTCCCTGTCAGTCCAACTCTGTTGTTTGTGTAATAATTATGTCTTCAGAAATGTAAATAACATCACGATGGGGGCTGCTTTCCCCCCCAATTAGCAAGAAATAAAAGTTGTTCTAAATAAACCTGTCCAACAGCAGGTGAACATGGCTCTTTGTCTGTTGAGACCTTAGTTTCTTGGTTCTGAGCCCAGAACGGAAGATGTCACTCAAAGACAAGTGCCTGTGCTAATGAAGGCACCAGGTACAACACCAATACCTTCAATCAGGTTGGAAAAAGTGGCATGCAAGCATATATTAAGGTCTCTGAAACCATCCCTCCTTGCACCCAAACAATTCCTCGCTAGCATGCAGCAGAGACCAACTTATTTTTCCTCAGGTGACAGTATTTTAGGATGGGAAGCTTCAGTGCGCATGGGAATCAGTTCATACTTACAACAAATCCCTGCCACTTACATTCTTATTGTTCAGGTTGTACAATTCCAGCACTATGAAAGTATTACGACCTTCCTAGCAGGACTGGGAAACAAAAAGGGGATGCTGAGGGAGATCAGTGAAGCTGTGGCAGCAGCAAGAGCACCAGTGGGTAATCTGTTACCCCTCCACAGGCAGGCAGCTGTCAGTGAGACACGGGCCATCCTTCTGCTGCACATACAGCTGGGCAAAGAACACACCAAAGTGAAAACAACCCCAGCAGGCCTGGTTCTGAATGTGTTTGTGAATGTTGTGAAATGTATTCTATGATTCCATGTGTTCAGTAGCAGCTAACACACTTGAAGCCATTAGGACTTACTTGCTCCAAGGAAAGGCATCATGAAAAACGAAGCAGCTTCCTAAAGCAGTAAGTAAACATGGTATCAACCAGTTAAAGTTCTGTTAAGTGGCAGCAAAACTGTATGCAAACACTGGATTGGATACTCCCAATAAAATCAAAAGACCTGTCAAAACCACTCTGGCGAGACCTAAGTCTGCATGATAAATAGCTGCATGAGTGCAGCTATTTAGGTATAAAAGGGACTCAAATATTTGAGTGTTGAGTGTGCATCAAAATGAGGAGACAAATGCTCAAACTCTGGGAAATTAAATATAAAAGCAAATAAAGCAAACCAGAAAATGTCTTGAGGAATAAAAGGCCAGAAGAATAAAAACCACCTTGCCTAACGCAGAGCCAAGGAGGCAGAAAATCAATAGCAACACACACAGCTTAGAAAAGTCACATCACATCTGTGCTCACCTTGAGTAATGTACCAGAGCTCTACAGGCACAGGGAAAGGACTCTCCTAGCACCAAGCATCAGTGGAAAAACTTAATAACAAAGTGGGCAGAAACAAAATATGAGGCTCATATATGCTCACTATCATGAAAAGGAACTCCACAGTAAAACACTGTAAGTAGTAGCTTAACTGTTTCTTGCTTAAATCCATTAATCCCGCAGGACTTGAATGGAACATTGGAGATCAGGTTTTGAAGGAGTGCAGAGGAGTTTATTAAACCTCTTTGTCATCCTGTGTAACAGTCACAATGAGCACACAGGTAGGAGCTATCCCAAAGAAGAGAAATAGTGAGCTAAGTGTGAACAACTGCAACAGGGAAGAGCCAAGATGGCTTTTACAGAGCAGCCAGGCCTCACATGTGAAGTTTGTGGAGGGATTCAGCTCCACACCTTTATCCACATGCCTGCTGGTTGATAAATTTTCGTGAATCTTCAAAAGCCATTTGATAAAGTTCCTTTGCCAAAAGGCCTTTAAAGAAACTGGTCTGACATGGGACAAAGAGGCAGGGAGGAAGTAACTGTCAAGTTTCCCATGTGTTTCCCAAGCTGCTCATCAGGAGATTTTGGGCTTTGGTTATCCTTATTGGCATGTCCTTCAATAAAGCCCAAGTGTGCTGCCTGAACACTTCTTAGTATTCTTGAAGGTAAGTACTATTACCTGAGAAATTAGAGCTTGAGTTACTCAAACGTGGCCACATGGCAAACAGCAGACTTCTGGCATTGTTATACAGAACAGATGCAACAGCCTCAATCAAACTTGTACTTGGAGTGAAAAGGTTACTTCCAGGGCCTGGAAGGGAAGTGAACCTGCTTAAGGGATCCACCAAACCTGCCAGGGTTAGGCATGGCCAGGCAGGCAGCACCACAGCACCTGGGCCAGCTCCAGGGACTGCTACTACCTGAGCCCCAGTGGCAACTCGGCACAGGCCAACACCATCCTGAAGTCCGAGAGAAAAGCCATTAGTGGAGAAGTGCAGATGACAGCATGACACAAGGGATGGGCAGGAGTGGGAAGTTCCCCCCAATAAACATGTCCATCTCGGAAAGGACATGAAAGAACAGGAAGCTTCACACACAGCAATGACTCACACACAAAATTGCCCATCAGAAAAAGCTCTTTTCATTCTCATGTGAGCCCAACTTCCAATCCCAGCCTCAGAGACAGCCAAAGGACACAATTCAGGAACGTTCTTTTCCTCTTTATTCACAAACCTTTCAGGATGAGGAGAAACATCTGGGGAAAGGTTGAAGTGTATTTGCTTTTTCCTCTTTTTCCTAAAGGAAATCTAAACGTCCTGGGGAAAAAAAGGGGCAGGGAGGATCCAGGGAAGAGGATTTTCTGGGTTCATATGAAAAGCACTGAAGGAGCATAAACACAATGATGAAAATCAGATATTTTGTTGTTTTTTTTCAAAAAGAAAGTGTAACTGGCACCTTTTGACTTAATAAAAACCCCCAAAATCTGCTTCTGCCTTCTTCCTTCTGTCATTTATTCACCTCTGCTCTGAAGGCATTTGCTCTGTTTTTCCACATTTCTTCCATTCTTCTGGGACTAGTGCATCCTGGAAAGATAAATCCAAGAAAAATTAACTCTTCCAGGCAACAAAGCACTTCCTTGCACAGAGAAGTGTCCCCAGACCCCTCATTTGCTCTCCAGGGAAGTGTTTCAGACCAGCCTCTCAATGAAAGTTTATCAGAGTCATAAAACCAGTGCTGCAATGGAACCGAGGGCTGAATTCAAGGAGGATGGAAATGGTCAGACAAAATGAAGGATAATCTCTGGAGCAAAAGGGATGAATGAGCCTTGTGACTTACAGAAGTGAACAAAAAAGCCGAGCTGAATGCAAAGCCTGCAGGTACCTGAACTACTCTTCTACTTTTAACTGGGCCAATCTGTATGCTTGGAATCAAGTGGTCCATGTAAACATACAATAAAGTTCTTTAGGTCCTCAAGAAGAGGAAGCAGGCTGATGTGGGCACAGCACACCCATCTTTTACCTTCCAAGATGCCAGAGACAAGCATAGCTATGGATGCTGAGCACTTGACAGCCCAGCCCTAAAAGACGGTAACAATGCACTCTTAACTGACATATCTGGGGCATCAGAAACCCCAGAAATAAGGAAAAACGCTTGCGAGTGCACATGGCAGCAAAACGTAACTGATGGTTTGTGGATAATAAATTCTGTGCAAGATCCTCCAGGATTAGTCACAGCCCATGGGGAATTAAGGAGTTAAAACACCATGTTCAGAGATGGAAAACATGCAAGCTGTGGAGAACACAAGCCAGGCATTTGGTGACAGGCCACTGAACAGCTGAAAGCCCAAAGCTATGGTAAAAAGAAGCATCCAGGGACAAGAACAGCACCAGCAAACACAGCCGAGATGCGCCAGCATTCATCTACTAGAACAAGTGACAGCCATCTCCAGTTCCTCTCCAGTTACTTGTCACAGCTTGTTCTGTGCTCAGGTACCTCAAAACACTCCAGGGAGGGAAGAGATAGGAGCAGGGTGTTTTTCTTTGGGACACTATGCCAAATTCTCCTTATGTAATTTTCATGAATCCATCTTCCATACTATCTGAGCTGCAGACAGGAGCTTACACCACAGTGCACATGGTTTCTGTGACACAGCCACCCACGATGCTTTTGTTTTACACCACAAAAACTGAGCTCTGTGTGTGCCTGGAGCACTATGAATATGAGAAAGCAGATGCTCATGAGATGTATCACTGCAGCAATTGCAGTTTCATCACACGACTTCTCCCAGATGCTCTCTTCCTTCCCCAAAATAGAACGGTGCACTGACAGAGAAATGAAATGCCACATGCACATTCAGAACCAGGCAGCATGCAGAGCAGCAGGCAGTCCTGCTTCCTACACCACTGTGCATACAGCAAACTGGGACCTTACCTGCTCAGAATGAAAGGAAAAGAAGGGCTTTGTACTGGTGAACGGTAATGGAGACTTATCAGGTGACTGCATTCAATGGAGGGGGCTGACTGCTGCTGGCTGAGCCATCATGACCAGTTCGGTGTAATGGGAGGGTGAGCCCTGGACTGGGTCGTGTTCTCATCTGAATGAGGGGGTGCTGATCTGACTCTGCTGCACACAGAGATCATTGCCACCCCAAATGAGGTTGTAATTCAGCAGTCAGAGTGCCTGGCAGCTGAACAGCCAGAATACTGCAGATGGGGATAGTGAGTACCAACAGCAGGATGGGAACAACCCAGGTATCACCCACTTTCACCGTGGTCTCCTCCAGCCAACATTACTAATAATTTATTTACAGGAACAATACTGCTTAAACCAGGTTTATTTCACCACCCGATTGCTGCCTTGTGCCCAGGACAGCATATTCAGATGTGCACATATTACCACACAGCATTCAGATGATTGAGGAAATCACACAAAGACAATTTAGCTCTCAGAGGACATGTACTGCTAATATGCAAACCCAGATGCAGCCAAGGACTGATTTAAAGCCCAATGAGCAATGTTGGAAGGATGCAGTTTCAGCTCCGATATCTTTCTGTACACAGAGTGAGTGATGAAGTGAAATGAAACGAGCAGCATGCCCAGGAAAGGCAAATTCCAAAAAGGCCCTTACTTCTAGAAGAGCTGGTCACTAGCAAAACCCCCTTTTACCGCAGCGTTCTATACTTTGCCAACCTACTGCTCTGCTCTGCAGCGATCCTGCCAAAAGGAAAGAGGGAGAAAGGTTCAGAGAGGACAGGAAGGAGGAAAGCAGCCCTGCTCCAGGAACCAGAGCCAGTGATAGAATGTAAAAAGCAAAACCAGACCTTCTGGTAACTTCTGTAAAAGATGGTTTATACAGTTCCCCTCCCACAGCCACCAGCGGTGTCCATAGTGGAAGAGCAGCTTTGCCTCAAAGTGCCATGTAGTTAATTACCACTGCACTTCAACATCTGAGCCAGGCTAGCAGCACCTCACAAAAAGATGTCTCTTTGAACTTTAAAGTCATGTACAAACGGTTTAACTTTAGCCTAAGGTAGAAGCTTTACTTTCAAATTTGCCATTGTAGTTGCAGCTTCATGTTGTTCACAGTGGAAAAGCACATGGACACCCCCTGCAGTGTTTTGAAGTAGGAACCAACCACCTGCATTTATGTGTTAACAGAAGCCCTGGTTGAGCAAAGACACTTAGAAGTAAGCTTCATTGTAATATTTCTCCCCAAATCTGTATCCTAGGCAATCTGTAATTAACAATGATTTTTATCATTACTCTCTAAATTACAACATAGCCCCGTTGGCAACAAAATCCCAATAGGAACTGTCATACTAACAAGGGAAAATGCCACAGTGGAGAGGGCTGGACGTCCTAGGGAGCAAGGCTGAGCAAGCTGGGAGGATGGTATGGTAAGGGTTAATTACAGTAATCATCCTCCCTGCTGCAGCCATGCAAGTAGAAATGTTTTAAAGACAACAAATCATTGCAAAACCCCTGAAAGTCATGTTCTTGTGTTTGGGGTTTTTTTTCTTATACCTCTTATCCTGGTTTTAATATGGTGTAATCAGAAAGTGAGAACCCAGGGGTACCTATGCAAACAGGTATGCAAAGATAAACAACCCCTAGTGGCTCCAAAGCAGAAAGTTAAGAAAAGCACAGGTTTGATGGCAAAGCAGGCCAGTAAGATCATCTTCAAAGCCAAACTCTGCATTAGTACAAAAAGGCTAAAATGTTAAATCTCACATGGAAACCCCACGTGGCAGAAGGGAAGAAGAGGGAACAGTCTGACCTCTAATTAACGCACTGTACTGGCAGCCTGGGTCAGCAAACTGCCTGCAGGCTGTGTAAGCCACGGCACATTCACCAGGCACTGCATGGCACAAGACTCAAGTGTGAAGAATCAGTTCTATGCCAGCACAGAAATGAACGCTGTAGCCCTCACATTTTCCATAGTTTTGCTTGGGTGTGCTGTCCTCTGTTGTTGTACACCTCTAATAAGCATCTGCTTCCCTTCCCTTCCACTATAATCCCCCTGTAGGGAGGTGAAGACAGCAGTAAGATACTCTTGTCTTACCTTCCTCCTCTTAAAACTGATCTCACAAACACAGCTACAGAAGAGTTGGGCCCCTTCTGCATCAACAGTGGCTTTCATTATCTAACAATATTGTGAGAGCTTGATAGACCATGTAGCAAAATGAATTTGTCAGTGAATGGTTCTTGCTGGATGTGGGTTTCCCACATCAAAGTGCACATACTTCCACCTGTGCCTACTCTGTGTGCCTGATCACTTCAGCAATGGCCACGTGGACCATTCTGCCTAAGAGAGCTGTACCTCAGTGAGAGGACCTCACTGCCCCACTCAGTTTAAACCCTTAATCTGAAAACAGGCACAAAGTAAGACTGAGCAGCACATCCCACACAAGATCCAAGAACCAAAAGCAGTGTTTAGCTACTGACACATGGTAGAATCGATGTCATCTCCTTCCGACTGATTTGAGAAGCAGCTCCCACCAATGCACCCATCCCAGCTTACCGTTTTACTGCTTTCTGAGCCAACATCCTGTTGCCTGCCAGGAATGTGATGCCACCCAAAATGGCCAAGTACTTCAGAGTCTGGAACATGTTGAGCTGTGTCCAGTAGACATACATGAGTCCCAGCATTGCTGTCAAAAAGCAGAAAGAGCCCATGGCTGAAATTGCATTTCAAAGACCATTCATTATCCTCAGAACACTTGTTAAGTTGTACTGCCAGGCTGAAGCATTTGGTTTCTATCTCATCTCTGAAGCTCTGAAACGGCAGATCTGACACTACACATTATTGCCAGGGAAGAGAGGCATATGGGTCTCCATCCTGGAGAAAAATGTGACACTGACAGCTTGTAGCCAACCCCCTCATGGCAGAATTATGTATATATTATAGACATTAAGGGCTATTAGAATGAGAGGATACTCTGGATTTCAATAGAGAATATTAACCTTTGCACATCTGTAAGAACTTACAGTTTTACAAAGCTTCCAAAGAAAACGGTTTGGATTAAGCAATACACTGTCATTTGAGAAACAGTAGATCCAATGTTCTCTGAACCTGCTATGTTTTGGATATTTTACCAAGACAGTAAATGCCTGTACAACCAAGGACACAGTAAAATTGATGAAAAAAAATTGGTCCAGCCAAAGAACAAGAACTTTCACAGAAAGAGCTTTAAAGAAAAGCTGTAGCCTTTCACTGTAGAAGTAGTCCTGCACAGAAACTCCCTGTTACAAAGGATAAACATGCAATAAAGAAAGTGGGATCTCTAGAAATAAGTAGTTCTATTAAGTACAGATAAATAGTGTGAGAGAGGAGCCCGGATAATGACAGCTGTCACAAACTGATGGCCAAAACAGCTTTATCGCCATATTAACAATGATGAAAAGCAGGAAGACAGATGAAAACAAGAGAACAAATGTTATGCTATTATGTCATTATAGTTAATAGACCACAAGCCCATTAACCACTAGGGCTTTCATCTATAACTCCCAGGTGAGAAGGTCAAACAAATCAGAAAGCCTCTGACACTTACCAGCATGTCCCATGTGAAAAACAATGGTGCTGGGAGCAAAGCTGAAGTTGGAGATGTTGGCACCTATCTTTATCCACTAAAAGGAAAAGAAACACAGCTTTAATTACAACAGCCTTGTAAATGTAAGCTTTTATTTAAAAATTCAGTACCTTTCAAGGTTAAGTTCTTCAATGACTACAGTGTATTCTCTACAGAAGCACTTATTTAGTGCTACACGAGCACAGAGTAGTAATTTTGCTAGAGAGAACTGTTAAACTCCTCTAGTGAAATTTCTCCTGCTATTTCTGAATGCCAAATGCATTTTCTCACTTATGTTTCTTAAACTGATGAGAGGATGTTGCTCCAGATCTATATTTTCCAGAAAAAGCAACATTACCATTTCTACCCTGCTGAATTAATTTCAATCCAAAAGAAAAAAAAGGTGAGGTTCTAGTTCTGCATTCAGCGAAAGAACAGCAAGAGATATAAAATGTTTGCCCATAAAACCCTTTCAGTGTCTAGAAGACAAAAGAGAAAGGCATGAAGATGTGAAATATGTGTAGTATAATTTTTCACTGAAGTCTCATCAACGTGTATATTGTGAACTCCAGACACCAGAGGACATGACTATCCGAATGCAAGCTTTTGATGACTGGGAAGGAGAAATCACTGCCAAGCAAACAGGGATGAGTTTCATCTTCTAAATAAGGAATAGTTTAACTTGCCTAGATGAGATTCTGTATTGCATTAAGTTCAAAACACTGATCTGACACTACAGTGAGTAGCAGTGGATGTTTCAACTGCAGACACAAATACTAATTATATCCATAAATGGGAATCCATCTGATAGGATGAAGTAACACACATTTGGTGATGGATATATTAAGCGTGTGGCAGAATCACTGCTTTTTTCCTGTGTAATTCTAGCATTAGTTATAATTTAATCTGCCCACTGTTACTCAACATCCTGAGCAGAAGCACACTGGAGAAACTCACCCACCTACTTCTACTCACCCGCAGTGTTTTTCTGCTTTGACTATAAAGTCAACCCCCCCGCCACACTCAACAGTCTGGGAGAGAGACGATACCAGACCAACACCCTGCACTGCCACTGCGAGCTGTGACTCCAGCACTGCTGTGCTAGTTGTGATTAACCTAGAGTTTTAATATGGAGTTTAGCTGGCGAACCTTCTGAGTGACTTTGGACTGGCTGGGAAAAGATGTTGTTCTTCTGTGGCCCACTTCACTCACCAGAATAAGCAGCAAAAGCAGGGGGGAGAGAATCAATGCCGTGAAAGTGTTCGATACCACAGTGGGAGGTCTCTTCTCAGGTTCCCTGAAGAGGTGCTGCAAACAAACAAAATAAACTCATAAGTAGGAGTATTCCAACAGAGCTTCCCAGAGGACCAGCTGCAGCCCTGGTGCTGTCCCCAGATGTTCCTTTGGATGATAAGCGTTCCTCTTAAGGCAAAGAGACTTTAAAGTAGTGTCTGTTCCAGCCTCTGCACATTTAATCTTTGGCACAGTTCACTTTTCTTTGCACTCACAGAAGCACTTGTTAGCTTGTCATCAGCACAGATGGCTGGAATGAAGCAAGAGACATCCTCAGAAGTAGAGAGCTTCTGCAGTGCTTCTCTAGTCAAATTTACATGTCTTTTTAGTGCTACTAGCTGCTCTCTCATACGTAACACACACAGCTTAGCTATTCATACTCTAGAAGAATGCAACACATTTCCTTCCATTAAGCAGTAACTCTGCTCTTCCTTTATTTACATCACTTACGCAGAGTAAAAAATGAGTTTTCAAAAATAAATTACAATGAGGACAAATAACCCCAGCAGGACCTGCCCTCATCCCCACACACTGGTTTTGGTTTTGACTCTACCTGGATTTCAGGTTTGGGAACAAAGAGGTTCTTTGACTGGACTGTGGATGGCGCATCCTCTTCTGGGAATGTGATCACAACGTCAGCCTGAAATGAAATCATGCAGCTTCATGAAGTCTGATCTTAATGTAATACAAGTTTTATAAACCCTATTCCATTACTGTGGCTTATTTCCTTATCTGTCAATCTCCAATTGACAGGCTCTTTTAAAAGGAACTAAGAAAAAGCCACCAGATTTTTTAAGCAGCAGTTTCTCCTAAACAGAGGCAGCAAGAGAACTTACCCATCTCTAAGAACTGGACTTATTTCTAGCATAAAAGGCAAAACCTTGAAGTGCTTGCTGTGAAATTACCAAACCCATACAGGTTCTGAAGCTTCTGTTCCACCATGAATGAATGCTCATTTCTGTCCTGCCTTGATGCTTACTTAAAAACTTAAAACAAACAGCAAACCTCAGAGCCCACAAATGGCTAAAAGGATTCTGGTTCACTACAAAGAGCAAAACATTTGAGCTTTCTTATATCCAGGCCTGTAGCATGCCCTCCTGTTCAGACTGCCAGTAATCACAAAACCACATGGCCACATTTTCAGCTACATACCACATTCCACAGGATTGGATTTTCCAGAGTGGCATCTCCAATTATCAAGTAAAGAGTGTAGGTACCAGAGGCAGAGTCAAATTCAGTCTTTCTTTCAGAGGTATCCAGTTCAAACTTGTAAACGTTCTTGCTATCTGGTTCTGCAACAAACACCACCTCCTGGCCAGTCTTTTGGTTGTGAAGTCGGACAAAAGTCTGCAAGGAAAGACTGTAGCGTTTATTGAATATCTCACAGTGTTTATAAATGACAGAGAAATAAGAGACTGACCCCCAAATCAGAAAGCACATTAACAGAAGTCAGAGTACAAACTGGGAGTCCAGGTGCCTGCAAATCAGCAAAGTTCTGTGTCTCTTTGAGTAACAACATTAACACAGGACCAGACTGGTCAACAGCACACTTGGGGTAGAGGGTAAATTACTGAGTGTCACTCCACAGGATATATGCAACAGCACACAACAGGGATGTACACACAGATGGGTTTTGTTGGGGTGTTCCCCCTTCCCTTTTTTCTATTTTATATGTAAAAAAATAAGATTTTAAAGGAAGTCCACATTCAGTGACTTTTCCAGCAAACAATCTGTATTTAAATAATCAGAAGTGTGCTTTTACAGTGCAGGCTACCTGCACTCATTCTGTTGAGTTAAATAAAACATAGCACCAGAGCCAAAAGAGGCTCCATTTAACATACAGCCAAAACAGATGAACCCAATCCACTTCCCACCTACCAAGACCAGTGATCTCTCACAATCCATATCAGAAACAAAAGGCTTCTCCAAACCTATTAAATCTTTTCTAAAGCAACTGCCACCTCAGATGCTTCAAGATAGAACAACTCAGTGACACAGCAACGACAAAAGCTTCTCCTAACCTGGTGAGGGATGAGTTCAGCTCCGCTGTTCACGTCTATCAGCTGAAAGGATAATGCAAAATTCTGGTGGCTGTCAGCAGTGAATGAGCCCTTGGCTTTGGCTGGGTAAGCTACCCTGGGAGGGAAGAAACCAAAGAGAATTGAGGTGTTATTCCAGGAAAATCCTTGCTCTTCAAAGAACCCAAGGCAGGCAAGCCTGCCTGGCAGTACCGCAGTCTACTCTGCACAGATGAGCTATTTTATCAAGTCAGGTGAACTAACAGGTCTTTCTCTTCCACTATAAACTTAATGAAAATTAATTAACAGAATGACATCAAGTCATTTTACCTGGTTGTTTTTGGTGCAATGCTCTGATCTTTATCCACAGTAGAAAGATCCACATTAGTAATCCCAACTTCTGTGGAAACTTTTACTTTCAGCTGCAACAAAACACAATAGAAATTACTCAGAGCACTCTACATATACTAACTATGGTCAAGTTCAAAGAAGCTTTAGCCCTTCTGTCCCCTTCCCCAGAGAGGGTCTTACACTAAGCCAAAAGACAGAACCTGATCAGAACAGAAGGATACACAGTAATGCTCTCAAACGTAAGCAGTTACTGCAGTCTGTAGGTTTTAATGAGCACATCTGCTCTCCCAGCTTCCAAAATGCTCCCCCGGAGAACTCAAGTTCCAGCGCGAAGATATTTTTCACCATAAACTACTATTTGTTACTACAGGTTTGCTCATGTGAACCAGCCCCACACCCTCACCCTGAAAACTAACTCACAGGGAACCTGTGGGAAGAGTATGCAGAAACATGAACTAAAACATCCAGACTTCAAACACAACAGTCTTGGTGGCTCCTTTACAACAGAAAATGTCATTTAAAATAGAGGTTACCCCTGAAAATGCATCCATTAACAGGTGGACTATTGAGGCTAATGTTAGTAAAGCCTTAGTTTGTTCCAAGATGGGAGCAAAGAAAGATGGACTAATGAAATATTAATGTTAGAAAACGTATGTGAAGGCAACTCCAAGCTGCTGCACGCAGGCCCTCCAGCTGAGCTACACAAACATCTCACAAATATTTTAATGCCAGGAAATGTGGTCTCTGCTGGAGTAATGACCCACTGGTTTAGCTCATTACTGTCAAAGGGATGGTGCATTAAGGACAATTAATGCTAATAACAGTAAGGAAAAAAAAGCAGCTCCCCAGCAGCCCTCCCCCGTACCAATGTGTCTTATTAGAAGCGGTTCCCACAGAGCTGCTGCAGTGTTAATACATTCCTGCTGGGACCTGGGGAGGAATGTGTGCCAGCAGCCAGTTTCAGCAGGGCCAATCAGTTCCCTTCTGACACTCCTAAGTGCCATTACTACTACAACAACATCAATGTGACACACAGAGTAAAGGTCAGTTGTAAATAAGCATCTTCCTTCAATCCAAGCTGGCTGTGTTGGAAGACTTTAAAAGCTAATTTTCTCCTTGAACACGTGATTGAGGATAAAAATTACCATGGGAATAGACATCACTGGAGAAGAGAATGCTCAGCTGTTGATACTGGGGTGACTATATGAATAGTTACAGATGTCACGTTCTTCTCACTGTAACAAACTTGAGGGGGTATCTATGCATGAAATGAAGACTTCATTTACATTCTGCTTTGGACACTTTCTCCACTACCAAAGCAATAGCACATACTACACAGTAAGGAAATATCAAAAGACCTTCTTGACTCTTTCCTGCAGCTCTAGAGAGTATATAGGTGAACAACAAATGCTCAGCTTCTGCACACAGGGAACCAGCAGACAGCTGCCAGGCAAGCCTTGAGATTTAGACTCAGATCTTGAGTGCTCTGAAGAACTAACTGTTTTTGCATGGCTACTTTGGGCTGCTCTATAAACATTTCCACTGCTAGCCTTTGTTCATATGCTGTCAGATCAGCATCTAAGTGCTAAGTCAGGTTTGAAATTTATACAAATCCCTTTTGATCGTGTATTAATCTGGTTACTGGTCATAATCCAGCCAAAATCCAGTCAATTACAGAAAAAGTATGTGATGAAAATGCCATGCAACTGGCAACATCCTTAATGGGTATAAATAAAAAGCCGTTTCAGTGAATAGCACAGAATTAAAATGCCATCAAAAAGTAGACCCACCTCAACTTTGTTAGCAATAAATCTCTTATCTCCATCAACACTGATAGAGAAATCATAATATCCACTGGCAGGTTTCACATTCATGAAGTTCAGCTCAAAGACATCTCTATAACAAAAAATGCAAAGGGTTAAGTATCTTGTAGGACACTAAAGAGATCATAGCTTGCTCCTAAGAAGTCTCCAAATACGCCAGATTAAGCAGGCAAAAAGTGAAATGCAGCAGAAAACTAACATCACTAAGTGCAGCAGAAAAAGAATTCTTCAAAGTCCCCCTGAGGTCAGAAGAACATTGCAATTTCCCAATCCCAATCAGAAGAAAAAGCAAGAGAAATTCACCACCACTACAAAACGTGCTTAGTCACCTGTTACCAACAAAACAAGAACAGTGCTGTTTGAACAACACCCGTTTGCCTTACAAATTGTAAATATAAGATTATTTTCTTACCCTGACAGAGTAAATGCTGTCTGTTGAAGGACAGTGGCTTTGCTAGATGCACTCTTGGCGTAGTCAAGTTTTACAGAAGCTTGAGTCAGTGGCTCGGACATAACATCAGTCACTTGTAGCTACAAGAGAAAACCAAGAATTCCCATTAAACCCATTGCCCCAGAAGGAAAGGAGAGCACAGACAACTCACTAGCCCCTGTATTATACACCCACAATTCCTCCCTTCCCAGCATCCCAGATTCACCTAGTTCTTTCTAACATAATGGGAAAGCTAAAGTTTGAAATCAGCAGAGCTGACTTCCACATAGTGCCTTCTTTAGGTAGTGGCTGCTAAGCCCCGGGTAAGCAGAGGCTCCCAAGAATCACTTCATAAAAGCACTAAAGCCTCAGATGTACTGGAACCAAAGGCCTGGAGTTAAAAATGAAGGACATCACCTCACACAGTCAGCTTAGACCTGCAGTACTAAAGACTGACCCAAGAGATGAGTTAAGATCTGAGGTTAAGGACTCACCCTGAGTACAGGCTGATGGTGAGACACAGCTGCAGGCCCATCAGGGATGACAATGACAGGCAAGTGGTAGCGGTTCCGGGATAAGGAACCTGCAGCACAAGCAACGCTGAAAGCCTCTGAGAGGGTCTCAAAGTTCTTCTTGCTAAAAATTGCATTCATCAACTGAATGATTTGATCCTGAAAGAGAAAAAAGCAAATTACATAGAAGCAACAGCACCTTACCACTTGTGCTGGTTTTGGCCAAGGTAATTTTCATCACAGCAGCCAGTATGGATTTGTGCTGGAAACAGTGCTGATCAAATAGGGATGTTGTTACTGCCGAACAGTGCTAACAGAGCCAAGGCCTTTTATGCTCCTCACCCCACCAGCGAGGAGGCTGGGGGTGCACAAGGATTTGGGAGGAGACACAACCAGTACAGCTGACCCCAACTGACCCAAGGGATATTCCACACCATACCAAGTCATGATCAGCATATAGAGCTGGGAGAAGTAGAAGGAATGGGGAGACACTCAGAGTGATGGCATTTGTTTTCCCAAGTCACCATTACACATGATGGAGCCCTGCTCTCCTGGAGATGGCTGAACACCTGCCTGTGGGGAATGAATCCACTGGTTTACTTTGCTTGCGTGTGGAGCTTTTGCTTTACCTTTTAAACTGCCTTTATCTCAACCCAGTAGTTCTCTCACTTTTACTCTTCTGATTCTCTTCCCACTGCACGAGGGGAGCACAGTGAGTGTGTGGCTGTGTAAGGTGTAGTTGCCAGCTGGGGTGAAACCATCACACCCCAACATTGCAAACTGGCTCAGTATAATGTTATTAATAAAAACATCATTTATAAGGACTGTTTAATTTCCCACTTGCTTTAAAAGTAGCTCAAGTTATGAGGCAACCCCAAACTAGCTTCCTTTTGAGTATCATATTAGCATTCTCATTCTTGGCTGGGAGGTTCCAACCACAATCACTGTAATTGTGCTAAAAACTTGCCACACCAGAATGTGGATCTATCTCTTCAAACTACATGTTTAAGAATGGAAGATACCATCAACTCAACTATCCAGACTGCGTGCAGCTGCAAAAAGACAATTTGGCTCCACGAGCTCTACAACTGCCTTCGTACAGTAGAGAAGGTCCTGGCTACCTGTCAAGTTGGGAAGGCCAAGGAGCACTGATGCAATGCATCCCAATGGCTTTGGAAGGAGCCAATCCAGGCCTATGATAGGCTTATTCCCTTAGGCTCAGCAGCATTCTCAAACTAAGAGGATTCGCTTTAAAGCAGTACCACCAAGAGCACAGAGTCAGCTCTGGCTCTGGGATGTGCCTCTGACATAAGAGTGGGACCACATCCCCCACTGGTTTTGCAGTGCAAATTTTTAGGGTTAGTGCCACACTGCCCAGGGTATCCTGTATTATTGAGATTCTTCATCACTCCTTGCTAGTCTAGAAAACAGAGGGATTGGTTACCTGTACTTTCATCCAAGCAAAGAACTGTGGGCTAAATTCTAACCAGAAATGAGAATAAAAAAAGCAAATAAAGCAATAGGCATATACTTAGTAAATTAATGAGTACCAATGTACACCACAACTAGAGAAAGTATCCAGACAGATGCTACAAAGATCCTGCATAGTACAAACCCTGGTATGTTTTTCATTTATATGAGGGCATGGCATAGCTCCAGACCCAGATCAGCATCGGACACTCATTTAAACTAGGGAGGAAAACTATTTCTTCCAGATCGTACACGTCAATCTTCAAAGAGAGTTTTGTGGCATTCTGGAGGCACTCTCACCATTCACAAGAGATAAAGCTTTAAGCCCCAACAACAGCACTTCTGACAACACAACACTAAATAATTTTCCTTGATCGGTCTTTTTTTAAACATCCATTGGACACTGACAGTTTGAATTGTGTGTAGCAGAATCACTACCTCAAAAATGACACCAAAATGACTCCACATTAGTCTCTTTGGCAGAAACATGGAAGAGAGCCAAGAATGAACTCAGATGTCTTATGCCAGGTTCTGTCTCAATGCTGCCACTCTGGCTGGTGCTTTAGGGAGCTGCCATTCTCCACCACAAGTACAGCAAAACTCAGTTAACTTGTGGATAGCTTGCAATAGTAATTTCTGGCTTTATTAAGCTCAAAAGAAATTTCTGACAGACTTTCATTTTAGACAAGCTTTTTGCATCTGGTTTCCTGTTGGTGTATGGTACTAATGCTGTCTTCCCTTTGGGCACCCCAAACTGGGGTGCCTGCATTTCCTCACAGGTAAATAACATTTACAAAGCACATTACAATGCTGGAGAGTGCTGCATAAGTGCCAAATACTAGAACAAACTCCAAAAGAAGAGGGGTTTTTTAATAGCTTGTCTCAATAAACAGAAGAAAAGCTAGGCCTCATTCGCAATTTCCTTCTGTACATCTGAAAAACAAACAAAATTCAGGGAGTGATCTTGAAGGTGGTATTTCCTCCTGGATTCTGCTCCTTAGCATTCCCTCTCACATGTCCCTTTTCACTAAGTGTGCTTATTATTTTTTCCCAGTAGAAATTCTACCCAACTATAGCGGCCTCTCTGCACGACAGGAACTAGGCAGATCCCCTTTGAGAGCTACAGTGTGCAAGGGAGGAAAAGGCAAATACAAACCTCCTTCATTGCTGGCTCTGTACCCACGTGGTCCGACAGTTTATAGGCAGCAGCCACAAACAGTGCCGTAGTCTCAATTCCTTCTTCAAACTGCAGATAAACTCCACCCAAGTCATCCAGGCGAGCAACAAGATCCTGACAGAAAGAGTTATTAAGGTTTAAATTACATTCTAGTAGATCCATAGAAGTTAACTCTACTTCTACTCTACAATCGAGAGTATCTGTATAGGATCACTGACTTACTTTGTAACAGTCATTTGGAAACAGGATTTAAAAAGAAACCATCAGCCTTTAGTGGATTTAATTGCACTTAAAAGTCATGACTTTCTGTGTTTCAGTCTCCTGTGAAACACTCAGAAGTCCAGAAGAAATATCTGCTTGAAAGAGCCAAGTCAACCCGCATGATACAGGCAAGGAATTAGCAAGGCTAGTTTTCATTTTGTATTTCACATTAATATCTCTTTTAGTATTACAGAGGTCTAAAATTCCTGAATTTTAGAAAACACAGTGTGTTCCTACCTCTATCTCCTCAACAATGCCACTCAGGTCTGCCTGTTGGGACAAGTACGATGCCGTCTCCAAAGCCTGGATGGTTCTTAAACAAGAACAAACAAAAACAAATGATTGCATGATTTTTTCCTTCCTTAGAAGCCAAACAGCATTTCAGTTCTATTCTGAATAAAGTGTAAAACAGCTGTTATTGCAGTCGACTCAAGACAATGAATGTGAAGTGATTCCTGCTTACTGTCATGTTTTTTCACCTCCCAGTACAGGCATCCAAAACAATAGGGCTGAGAAACAGCATCAAGTCTACAGCAAACTTAAATGAGACAGAACCACGGCTGGGTTTAAGCCAAAAAACTGTTGTGAATCTTTCAAAAAGAGAAGGCTTCTCTGGGATACATTGTCTTCGGTGAGCACTACTCTTGAATGCAGAAAATTGCCCCCCCCCCCCACCCCCCCCAAGAATCTTTCATGCCCCCAGAGGGACAAATATGAGATGCACAAATCACAGAATCCCAGACTGGTTTGAGTTGAAAGAGGCCTTAAAGCTTACCCAATTCCAAACTCCTGCCACGGGCAGGGACACCTTCCACTAGAGCAAGTTGCTCCAAGCCCCATCCAGCCTGGCCCAGAACACTACCACTGATGGGGTAGCCACAGCTTCTCTGGGCAACTTGTGCCAGCATCTCACCACAGTCACAGTAAAGAATTTCTTCCTGATGTCTAATCTAAATCTCCCCTTTTCCATCTTGAAACCTTGCCCTATCCCTCCATGCCTCTTGTAAAAAGTCCAGATTTCTTGTAGCCCCCTTTAGTTAGTGGAAGCCTGTTATAAGGTCTCCCTGGAGCCTTCTCCTCTCCCGGTTGAACAAGCCCAGCTCTCTCAGCCTGTCTTCAAAGGAGAGGTGCATCAAATGAAAGCACAGCACCTAATCTACTACATCCACATTACAAAAATTAAGTGTTAAAATACCCTTTACTCTAAACCCCAACTGCCTAGAGGATAAACACTCAACAGTGAATTATTTCCAACTGAAAGACTTACGCCAGCACATTTTCCTCTTTGCTAAGACGAGCAGTAAGAGCACTAAGTGCTTCCTGAGATGCCAAAGGAAGGCCAAAGCCACTCAGGGCCCCAACAGCGTGGAAGATCTGGGTGACTGAGGAATCCTCACTGACAGCTGCAAGCAGCAGCTCCCTGGTCTCATTTGAAATGGTAACCTGAGGAAAAACACAGGTAACACATTGATTCACACTTGAAAAACCACAGCCTTCTAATTACCACTGACTGCTTCCAGGAACACCACACTTATTGGTGAACTCCTGGAAGCTTTTGGGATAAAGCCCTTAATCTTTTATTAGTTTTATTAATTAAATCCCAAAGTTTTCCTGTCAACAAGTCAGGATAATCTAAGATTCAGATTTATCCTCATAATCTGCTATTGCTTTTCACCTGGCATCACATCCTTGTGCAGCAGCAGTACTGCTGAAAACTGGGGCTTGGACAGCCCACCCACAATGCAGCAAGGGTGGCCTGCATTTGTATCCTTGCTGTGGTTCAAGACAGGGTTTACATCCAAACAGTTTCTCATCTACCTAAAAAGTTTTTAATTGATGCTGTGAATGCTATTAGAATGTGCTGGCTCCTTTTTTCTTAGCCACTGATATCTATCAAGTAACAGCCCCTCCGAATTATTACGAACCTAAGACACAACTGAATACAACTCACTAAAAGAAAGTAAGAGTAGAAGTTATGCATAAAATAAAACAAAGAAAAATATCAAGGCAAGTATTTCACTGGTAACCTCTGCCTTCAGAGCTCAGGGCTCCAAACTCACCTCACAGCCAGCCAGGACCCGGATAGACTGTGCAGCATAGAAGAGGGAATCAACGCTGCTGGAGTCCACATGAGACTTGATGAAACTGCATGCAGCCTGTGAAGAAACAGAAGTTAACTGACAGCAACAGTCTCAAAGCCACCAAGGAGATGTAAAGAGTACTCTGAGCCAATTTCATACATGCTGCTGTGCATTTTCAGACTGAACTAAAGGCAAATTAAATCTGTAGGAATATTTGCAATCCTAGGCTGCATAGAAACAAAGGTGGTTCCTGCTAAAAGAGATGAACGACTTTCACACCATCTGTACTGCAACCGGATTTCCATTTAAATTTGAGTATAATTCTAAAACCCATCAAAATTGAAGTCCTGTGTGTATATTTAGTCAGGAAAATCTCCCAGGATAGAGAGCAGATGAACAGGAATTCTGTGGGGGAGCTTCTTTCCCACCTATACAACACACACAATCATTAATGGAGGCAGAATACAGTTTCAGAGCATAGCCAAGTAAGCAGCTACAGTGTGAAGGCAGGCAAAAAGACTGCTCAGTAATCTGTAGCATATTATGTTTTATGAACAAGCTACTGTGTTATTATGTAGAATATTAACTGAACACTAGATAGATGGATCATTAAAACTGCATTTTAACCAGAAAATAACCAAGAATTTAACTGCTCATACATAAATGACAAGGTTTTGAGTATGTGGAACATAGGCCTTTACAAGCAGGACAGGATTTTCATGCTACAGTTACCCAGGAATACCAAGAGATGTTCAAGTGTTTTGCCTAGCTATTATTTTTATTATTTTTACTACCTCTACCTTTTAAACAGTCTCACCCCATGAAGATGTACACTGTCCACAAAGAAAGCCTCATCACAAACCTCAAGCAAAAAGTAAATAATTCCTCTTTACCTGCAGAAGCAAAGGCTGTGCTATCTCTGCCGAAACTAGGATGTACTAAAAACCCAGCCACACTGACATAAACGAAAGCAGCAAGGCTCAGCCTTGCCGGCAGACCAGTAACCACCACAGCCAGGTGTGCAGTGGGGTGAACTGCAACACCTTCAGGAGTGTCACATTAAAGAGTTTGTGGTGCAAATGCACAACACTCAAAAGAGAAGCAAAGTCCAAGTGGTTTAGAACTACTGAACTAGCTGAATTTCTGAGGACAGAACAACCTTCCATTCAAAGCTTAGGTGCCTACGTAAGTACACATGTGCACAGAAGCAAAGGTGCCTATATAAGCAGGTTGTTACAAGGACAGCCTTTACTAGGTTTAAACTAGAAATGTTCCAAAGCATGGAAAGGCAGGAAGCATCATGCTGATGCTGCAAACCTTTGCTTCTAGTCTGGGCACACAGGATGTTTGTTTTATATGCATGTTTTATATGCAAAAATAATGAAATCATGGGACCTGGCTGAATTCAGTGTTAGAACTGAAATGAAATAATGAGAACTCTATCTAACAGGCCAGCAAAGCAAACACACTGCAGGCAGAAATCTTTTGCACAAACCAGGAACAAACCGACAGCTGTAGCAATGTCACAACAGGCTATGGAGAGGCAAGCCCTGAAACCACCATTTAGAGGCACCAAGTGGAAGAGAGCCCCTGACACATTAGTACTGAGACAAAGATATCACTTACTCCAACAGCACACCTTAAAGGTTGCCAGTAACCGCCACTGCCTTGGTGTGATGCTCGCTAAGGACAACACGTACATCCATGTGCCTCAGACTTCCCTCAGGGCCCGCAAGCAGAGCTCACTGCACAGATCACCGTGTCTCGCGTTGTGCAGCTCCTCAGCACCGCCAACTGCTCACCTTTTCGTCTGCCACCCGCACACCCAGGTTCGCGAGGCCCACGATGGAGTAGAAGGCGGCCTGCACGTCGGAGAAGGGCCGCTCCAGCGCCGCCCGCAGCCGGGCCAGGTCCTGGGCGGTGAGGCGATGGCTGGGGGCCAGAGCCTGGGCACCGGCGAGGAGGAGGAAGCTGAGGGCCGCAGCCAGACGCAGACGCGGGCCTGCGGAGAGACAAGCGGGTTACCCCCGGCCCTTCCCCGCGGCGCCCTCCCCACCTACCTCCCGCCGCCGCCGCCTCCCCCTCCTCACCCGGCGCCGCCATGATGCCGCCTGGGCCACGGCACCGCTTCCGCCCCGCGCCCCGCCTCGGCCTGGCCCAGACCATGGCGCCCGCTCCAAGGAGGGGGCGGCAGGGACAGCGCATTTCTCGAGGGGGTCTCAGCCCCACCGGAACCAGCTCCGAACGCCGCGGAACTGTGAGAGAGAGCAGATCGCGGGGACGGAGGACGTGGACGGGAGAGGACTGGGCAGCCACAGGGCAGCCGAAGAAGAGGCAGCGGCGGCTCCCCTGGGCGGTGGGAATGGTACAGGCCTCCCGGCGGCCCTCGGCAGCGGGAGGGGGTGGCCCCTGGCAGGATGTGGGCTGCGCTGATTGGCCGAGCCGCCTGCAGCCCGCAGCGCGCCATGGTACCCACGGACGGAGGCGGCCAAGTGATGTGGCTGGTGTCGTGTCCGTGCCGTGCCGTGCCGTGCCGTGCCGTGCCGGCCCGTGCTACCCCGTCTCGTCCAATGCTATCCCATCCCATGACATGCCATTCTGCCCCTTGCCATGCCATAGCATCTCATTCTGTTCCATCCCATGCCATGTCATCGCATCTCCTATCACACCATGTACATGCCATCTAACATCATGCCACGCAGTTTCATGCTGCACCATGGCATGCCTTGCCTGTTGTGCCACAGCCTGCGTGCCAGGCAGTGCTATGTGGTGCCGTGCTGTGCACGGAGCCAGACCTCAAATTTCACCGTAGCAAAGCAAAGCACATGCCAACTGGTGGGCTGTTATTTTAGGAGCTGATGGGAGTCATGTGCCTGAATCTTCTCCTAGTTTAAAACCACCACTCCTCATCCTATCACAACAGACCCTACTAGAAAGTCCCCATGTTTCTTATGGGCCCCTTTTAAGTACTGAAAGGCTGCAATAAGGTCTCCCCAGAGTCTTCTCCAGCTGGGACAAGCCCAGCTCTCTCAGCTGTTCCTCACAAGAGAGGTGCTCCACCCTCTGATCTGTGGCCCTTCTATGGACCCTCTCCCACCGGTCCATGTCTTTCCTGCACTGAGGACTGGACACGGACTCCAGACGGGGTCTCACCAGATCAGAGGGGCAGAATCACCTCTCTCAACCTGCTGGCCACGCTCCTCTGGGTGCAGCCCAAGATACAACTGGCCTCTTGGGATGCAAGTGCACATTGCCAGCTCATGTCCTATCTCTCATCCAGCAGTGCCCCTAAGTCCTTCTACTCCAGGGTACTCTCAATCCCTTCATTCCTCAGCCTGTATCAATACTAGGATTGCTCTAATTTAGGTGCAGGACCTGTCAAACCTGATGAGTTTTAATGGACCCACTTCTTCAGCCTGTCCAAGTCCCTCTGGACAGTATCCCATCCCTCGTCGTCAGCTGCACCATTCAAATTGGTATGAAATGGTGGGCAGGGAAAGGAAAGAAGGGAGAACAGGCTTTGGGATTATGCTATGCTGTTTTTCCTACTGGTTACTTGCAATACCCTATTTCATACTGCATATTCTTTGTACTTAGGTCTTGAGCCCAGTGGCTCAGCTGTCAGCAGTGTCAAGTCCCACTGCCTTTGCTACAGACAGCAGCAGGCTACCTACCTGGTGTGAATAAAGAGGCACAAGCAAGCCCTTGGGAATAAACTGTTTATTCTTGGAGCTGCCCAGGGCCTCTATGGTCCTAGAGCCACACACCTCTTTGGGTTCCCAGCTACTTCCCTCTTTAATGAGTTGGGCTGCAGGGGCTCCTACAGCCTGTGCAGGGCTCCTGTGCGCACAGGGGGCTTTGGCCTGTGCTTACTTTTTTTCTTTAACGTCTCCTTCACAGTTTCCAGAACTTCAAGGACAACGGCTCTGATGTACTCGATCTCTGCATCCTGCTGCTCAGCTCTGGAGGCAGTAGCAGAGCTTTGCATGGACGTTACCTTGCTTGCTCCTGGGATCTGCTGTTTCAGTGGTCTGGGTGATCTTGGACTTGACCCATCCTGACAACTGAGGAACTTTGAAAACGGACAGCATCCTGCAAAGGATGACAAGATGGAGCTAACCCTGTCAACAGCCTCTACGGTCATTCCATCAATACAAGTCTGAAAAGATGCTCTGCTGGAAGCTGCTGGCTCTTCTCCAGACTTGCTCACTACGGAGGCTCTTCTGGCACCTGGCCCACTGGATGCCAAATGCTCCAACAATATCTCCAACACCGCTGTCACAATCTCCTGAGCCACCAGTCCAGTTTTGTCCTGGAGATCCATGTAAATCTGCAAAAGCTCTGCCTCACTGGTCCTGGCAAACAACCTTCCTTTGACCCCATGGGGAGCCTTCCCTGAGGCATGGTTGGGCTGATCCTGCGCCGTCACTATCTCGACCTTGTCCTCAGCCAACTCTTGAAGCTCCTTCTCTTCTTCAGGCAGTAAAACCTGCAGCTGGGATATGTTCTCAGGCACTTCCTGTTTGGCACATTCGGAAGGCTAAAATGAGGAGCAGATCATGAGTGAATGTGTTCCTCTGCCTTGGTTTGCTTTCCTCTTCCTCTTCACAAGACCCCTGCCCAGACAAAGTCTTAGCAATCAAGCTTGAAAAGCTCTAGTTTCTCCACAGGCCACCCAGCATATAGAGCTTTCCGGTCCCCCGTGGCCAGGAGACAAGTGTCTTGAGCACTCCTCAGAACCAAGCACTGCCATTTCACTTAGAGCAAAGGGCACTGTAGCCCCACTGGACCTCAGCACTGGAGCAGCAGGCTCTTTGCTCCAGTCTCTTCTGCCATGGGTCTCAGCCGCTCTCGGCTGACAGTGCTACCCTGAACCAGAGCAGCCCATTTACCCCTTCTTAAGGCCAAATGCTAAGAATGGCTGTTTTCAAAGCAGAAAAGGGAACAACCCTTTTTCTTGTGGCACCTGGTTATTATCTGCCAGCCCAAGGAAATACGTTGGCCTTGATGAGGCCACACCTGGAATCCTGTGTTCAGTTCTGGGTCCCTCACTACAAGAGAGACACTGAGGTGCTGGAGTGGGTGCAGAGAAGGGCAGCGGAGCTGGTGCAGGGCCTCGAGCACAATGGGGGGATGGGGAAGGGCTGAGGGACCTGGGGGGTTCAGTCTGGGGAAGAGAAGGCTCAGGGGGACCTGATCCCTACAACTGCCTGACAGGAGGTTATAGTGAGGTGGGGTCAGTCTCCTGAAACTGAAAAAGCTGCGAGTCACGAAGAGCAGCGTCTGAAATTGCCCTCTGCTATCATTTGCCATTCCGCAGTTTGGCAGCCGGATGCCATGGCAGGAGGAGCTAAACCCTTCACCCTGGCATATACACCACCCCGGGCAAAGTGTAATGTGCCCCGATTCTTGTCTCTGACTGCAACCCTCTAACAAGGCCACGTCGCACACCAGCACAACCGCCTCAGCACCAAGCAGTGCTTGCAAACACCCTCTCCTGAGACCTGGGTACCAAAGCGCTGCCACACAGCAGAGGTGGTCCCCAGCACCCAGCAGCTCCTACTCACCACACCCTGTAGTGTGCTGACTGCTTCTCTCCTCTTTCCCAGATGCATTTTGCAGCCGACCCGCTGGAGGAAGCGCTGCACTTTTTCCAGTGCCTCCAGTCTACCAATCCGTTTCTCGATGCCAGGGAGAATCCTGTCAAGAGACAGGAAAGCACCTGAGAAGGAGCTGCTCTATCTTGCCCATGCCCTTTCCTGCTCTGCCATTCCCATCGTCCTGCTCCTGGTTGCTTTGCTCTGGCAAATCCCAGCTGCCTGCCCAAGGCTCCAAACACAGACTGCAGCAATGCGTTCATAGCCTTCCACGAGTGAGGTTTGTTCACTTTCTCTCAGAGACCACAGGCCCCCTTCAAGAGCAAGCATTACCTGGCCTTTTCTTACCTCTCTCTCCTTGCCCTCTCTCCACTTGGCAACCTCTTTCTCTGCTCGTGCACCAGCCACTCTCGCAGCTGAGAAATGTGCAGCTCATCTGGCAGGTCAGCAGCACCCTCTAATTTGTCCACTTCTTGCCAAAGCTTGTGCTGAAAGGTGACACAGGGTGTGACTTACTGTTGCTGGACAAGTGTTCATGCCTCTGCATGCTGAGGCATCCCATGAGCTCAGGACAGTGCTCTGCTTCAGCCACGCAACCAGGGCAGAAGAGAAATGCTTTGCTTGAGACCCTGCATGTTTGTATGGACCCTTTCTGCCCGTGCCCAGCCCTGCAGCAGCTCACATAGCAGCAACACCCAGATAGGTAGCAGCCACACACCAGCCACACACACAGCCCTCACCTCTCCTGCACTGGCTACCTCCCCAGGATGCCATAAGCCCTTGTCACCATACCACTGACCCGTGTCCATGAACACTGCACTTTGCCTACCTCCTCCTTCCTGAACATGTTCTCTGCATCCACCTTGAGCCTGACCAGGTGCTGCCTGTACTCATTGAACTGCTTCAAAGTGCAAACCACCTATGGAAAGATGAGGGCAGAAATCCCTCAGGAATTGTCAAGCCAGCTACTTGTGCTTCCCAGGGATGTGAGCCCCACAGCCCTGTGCCATCCACCAGCAAGCAGTGGCTGCAGCAAGTGCTCTGGGAACCCCGCTTGATAGGGGCTGGCTTTATCAGCCCAAAGTCCAAACCTACTCTGCTATCATAGGTGATGGAACCCTCTCTCTTCAGCATCTGCAGGTGGTCCTTGCGATGGTGGTAGGCCTGCAGATGTGGGTCATGCAGGCTGTTGTATTCCATGCTCAGCAGGTGGCAGTAGGGATCTTCCAGGTTGAAAAAACCTGAAGACTGGAAAAGCTGCAAGAGAGGTTTCCCAAAGCATGAAGAAGGGAAGAGAAAGCAGCAAAGAAGTGCCAATGGCTCTGCACCAGGGAGCCAGGAGCTTCCCTCGACCCGCAAGCACTGTCAGACTGAAGGGCTACAGTGCCCACTGCAGAGCAGGTGGCAACAAGGACTTCTTTGAATGATAGGGACCCCATAAAAAAGGAGAGCTTTCCAAACCCTTCCCATTTCCTTTACCTTTCCCCCTAGTACTGCCCTGCAGAAGACAGGCTTGGTGCCGGGGTACACAGGGATCTTGGCCCCGAGCGGCAGATCCAGCAGCTGAGTATGTCCTTCTGCCAG